CTGACGCGCCTGTCACCGTTCGTACGAGGCTTAGGAGGAACAACACCAGCACGTCCGACGCTGTTCTTCATGTGAACCCTCTGGTATGGCCCGTCATGGCCATGTGTTACATCGAGGCATGTCAGTCTCTTCCCTGATGTCATAGTCTTGACCTAGGCCCATACGCCTGGACCTGGAGTCGTTGGCGGCGGTATGAGTCTCCGTCGGGCGAGACGGAGTGCGAACCCAAGGAGTCGGACGAGACGGAGACCGCACCCACAGGCCCGGGCGAGACGAAGCCCGCCCCAGAGGTCGAGCGAGGGAGAGCCCGCCCAGAGGTCGGGCGAGGCGGAGATCGTGGCCTTGGGGTCGAGCGAGGCGGAGATCGCGGCCTCGAGGTCGGGCGAGGTGGAGCCCGCCCCCAGAGGTCGGGCGAGGCGGAGCCCGAGGTCTCGGGGTCGGACGAGGCGGAGCCTTCCCTCAGAGGTCGGGCGAGGTGGAGCCCTCCCTCAGAGGTCGGGTGAGGTGGACCCCGCGCGCTTGGGGGTCGGTTGGAGCTACAGTCGTGCTATTGACTGCTCGGATGAATCAATGTTGATGACCATTAGCTCCTCTTCTTTGGGTACCATAGTATTTGTCCCCGACAGATATACACTATGTCTAGATACATGCTAAAAGCAATGTATCTAGAAAAGCCAAACGTTTTATAATTTGAAACAAAGGGAGTAATTAATAATAGTATAGTTTTATTTTTAGAAAAAGTCAAACAATTTTATATTTAACCAAACTTATATAAAATATTACAAACATTAATGATACTGAATAAATATTATTAGGTTGATTATATAATTTTCATAATAAGTTAATTGGAACCATAATTATTGATATTTTTTCTTAGAAATTTAGTCAAATTAAAAAATAATTTATCTAAAATCTAGAATTGCATTTTTTGGATGGAGGGAGAACTAGTATTGTACTGTACTGTACTCCATCCAATACGGAGGCTAAGGTTACAATATATAATACACCCTCAGAGAATGGTAATCGACATTTTGTTATAAAGAAAATTAAATTTTGACCAATAATCATTTTTATTATGCACATAGGTAAATTATCTGGGTAATAATGCCTAGCTGCACCAGTATACGAATTGAGTTGGCGATGTTGATTGTGTAGACCGTAGAGATCCCATGCAGCAGTAGTACGTAGTGTATTTGCATTTGCATGTAGGAGAGTACATGTACGACGACATGGTGGGTCAATCACTTGTACGTCAGTACGTGTAACACTGATGTACAGTACGTGTGAGCCGTTAATATGTTGTCGTGCTTGATGGTACTACCTCTGTGACTCTATCTTCTAGATACTTGGGTTAAAGTGTTCAAAGTTTGATCAAATACACATGTAAAAATATTAATGTTCTTTTACGTCGAGTAAGTATATTATGAAAATGTATCTCACGACAAATTTAATTATACTTATTTGATGTCAAAAGGGTGGGCGTTCGGTTCTCGGTTCGGTTTCTTCGGTTATTGATGAAATTCGGTTCCTAAAAAACGGGAACCGATCGGTTTCAATTTTTTTTAGGAACCGAGCATTTCGGTTCTCGGTTATTTCGGTTCGGTTCCGGTTCTAACCGAACTAACCGAATTTTTTCAGAAGACCTCAAGACAATAATAAATATACTTGTTCTAAAGCAAATTTATGCAACACTATATTCATTTTTAATAATAATAATATATAAGAAAACAATAGCAATATAGTAACACAAATATATAGCAGTTCAAATATAAAACACTACACATAAACCAAACATAATCCTACAAAATACAAGTAAGTGAAGTATAATTCATGTAATTCGGTTCTTTCGGTTCTTTCGGTTAACCGAGAGTAAGAACCAAATTTTCTTCGGTTATTTCGGTTCCTCAATATCAGGAACCGAATAAGAAACCGATTTTTTCGGTTCTGATTCTTTCGGTTTCGGTTCCGGTTCTTTCGGTTCAGTTTTCGGTTAAATTTGCCCAGGGCTCTGTACTCCCCTCCAATGTCATTATCACTTTTTAGAAAAATCAAATATTTTTAATTTGAATCAAATACGATTCGATCCAATTTGCCTTTTTATGCATTATTTTACTACATATTTAGACATAATGTATATCTAAGTGCATATTTTCAGGATCTAGATATAAATATTGTGATGTATAATACATATTATTTGATTAATTGTTAAATTTGTATTGTCATAATAAACATATTTAGATATATAATATTATCATTTTTTTAGTACAGATCTAGTTAAAATTCACAAAAACCTATATGACACCATTTTTTGGATGGAGGGAGTACGGTTGCAGTATTACTCTCTCATTAAAAATGCCAATAAAAATCTGAAAAGACAAATAATTTTAATTATGAATTTAACTAAATTTATAAAAGATAGTACAAGTATCTATATTTTCAAATATATTTATTATAAAAAATATATTAGTCGAGTTACATTTGTTATACATCATAAATACTAATACATTTCTTATTAAAAATGCCAATACAAGTTTTTTATTTTTAATTGGGACGGAGGGATGCCTTTATACAAGAGAAAAAGAAAGTGTTATCTTAGTTTGTTTTGCAAGTTTCCATCTCCATCTTAAATGCATCTACTCCATCTATTCTAAAATATAAGATATCCAATTAAATGTGGTAAAATAAATGATGCAGAAAATTAAATGTGTTACAAGGTATCCTGAAATTACTATTCTTGGTGTTAGATATCAATGGTAGATATACATGTGAATATTATCTTTTGAAGGCTAGAATCTTTTTAGACTTATAAGACAAATTTAAATGTCTGGAATCCTTATATTTGAGGAAGCAGTAAAATCAGAGTGGGATTGATTCATTTCGTCCGTGCACCCGTATTCTGCTGCCAACGCAGAGTGGCGCTGCTGCAGCGGTCAGCGGGCAGCCGGTAAAGAACAAAAGTGATTTAGGCCATGTTTAGTTCGGCGGAGCCCGTGTTCAGTGCAAAAAAAAAAAAAAAAAAAAAAAAGTGCTACAGTATTCATCACATCGAATCTTGCGATACATGCATGGAGCATTAAATGTAGATGAAAAAAACTAATTACATAGTTTGGTGGGAAATTACGAGACGAACGTTTCGAGCCTAATTAGTTCATGATTGAACACTAATTACCAAATAAAAACAAAAGTACTACAGTAGCCAAATTCCAACTTTCCCCTCAACTAAACAAGGGCGGAATTGACGCCGCCCAAAACACTGGTCATTACTGTAGCATTTTGCTTGTATTTGGTAATAATTGTTCAATCGTTGACTAATTAGGCTCAAAACGTTGTAATTAGTTTTTGATTTTGTCAACATTTAGTACTCCATGCATGTATCGTAAGTTTGATGTGACGAAAAATCTTCTTTTTCATAGTACCAAATTTTGAAAATTTGGGGTGAACTAAACATGGCCTTAGCTTTGGTTGGGCCCCAGTCCCAGAGGCAGCAAATGACTGTTGTCCCGTCCGTTGATGACACATATTGTCCTTTGCAATTTACTACCCTGCGTCCTGCCTCCAGCGCCTACAATTTGCCATTGCCACCCCACATTTTCTTCTTTCTTCGGTCATGTTCGGCTGGCTCGAAAAATAACTTACGCTGATGCTAATTTATTATAAGAAAAAAACACTATTATTTCACTGAAACGGTATGACTGATAAGTTTAAGCGAACAGAGCCGACAGGCAGTAGTTAGTACTCCCTCCTTCGAAAGAATATAATTATGAGATCCGTACCAGTTCAATGTAACCCAAGTTTAATTGAGTTTATAGTTAATAATATTAGTATTTATGTCTATAAACAAAATTTATTATGAAAATATATTTTATAACTAATATAACGGTAATTATTTTATATCATGAATGATAGTAGTTTTTTTATATAAATTTAATCAAAGTTATAACTGTTTGATTTCTCGGAAAACGAGAATTACATTCTTTCATCGATCGAGTACCTTATTTATCTTGTTTTTTATTTGCAGACGCAAGATGCAACATCCAACCAAAACATACCACACAAATACACGATGCACAAACTCCTACCTTCAAACAAGATGGCCCAAGCTTGTGGGTGCTACCGTCAGAGAATGGGTAGCTAATCAAATGAAAAATGTGCGCTGCAATGCCATGCATGGCCAAAGGATCAGCAGTGCCCAATCAACCTGCAAACGCTAGACATCTTGAGGTGCACACATCCACAGCCTGTTTGTTTGACTGGGCTTGTTCATTGCTGGATCGTGAAGAAGTACTGCTGACTGATTTGGTGTGAGAGAAAAATACTGTTCCGGCTGGAGATTTACGATCGTTTACGACCAAGCGAACAGGCCGCTATACCACAATAACATAGACCAAAATCATTCTCTCTTTTTTTTTCTTTCTAAAATCAATATTTCTGTATGCTGCAAGTTCTGCAACCTGAAAGTTTCCTTAGCCATGACAAATGTCTAAAGCTAGCATAGGAATAGGCGAGAATGATGTATACAAATTGAAGGTTTAGAGCATTAATTTAAGAAAAGTCAGTTCTGGTTCATGCCTAGCATTTTACAAATATAATGGAAGTTCAGAGCATTCGTCTCAGAATTGGGTTGCGCTTATGGCTGTCATGTTGACAAATTCAGATCACCAGTAACGCCATAGGTTAATAGCATACTATGTTCATATTCATAAGGTTCTCCCAGCTCCATTGATATGCATTGACCATAACTTAAACTCACAAAAAGGAAATCTAATACAAGATACATATCGGTTAACCAGTAAGTGCTTGTAACCAGTGAATACCCATTTGGTGTTTTTTGATAGGCAAAATTGCTAAAATCTAGAAGCAACACAATTTTCTTTGACAGCATCAATCACTGGACTAAAAGCTCATGACCATAGATCATCAGAATTACAACATCTCTGTAAAATGGAAGGATGTAGAAACCTGTGTCAAAACTGGATTTCTCACACCACATCCAGGATGAGCTAAATGGCTTCTCTGAGCTGAAACGTCTTCAAAATAGCTCTAGCTTTATCATACTCATTAAGACTGACCAATATGTTTTTCAATCGACGAGCTAGACCACGTGTCTCTTCCTCACTAATGCCTGACGTGTGTCTCCTCTCCAACTTGTTTCCCAGCTCAACCACTAGATCTACAAAAGGCTGCAGCTTTTGACTTTGTTTAGGCCAAACTTCTGAAAGTGAGGCAGCTATTCGCTCAGCCCTAGTGATTGCATCATGAACATCCAGGATGATACTCTTCATATGAGGAAGAATCTTCCCTTTCAGTAATTCATCTAAAGCAAGCTTCTCAACAACATGCTCCGCAAGGATGTCTTTCCACAGGCAAACATTCTTAAGGAGACGTACAGCAACACCAAACCTATACGCAGCATATTGAGAGGCACCTGGAACAGTCCTCGTCACCATTGATCCCCAGGCTGGTACTGAAAGATCAGCAATGGCCTCCATTAGACGGCTTCTCACAGAAGCCAGTAATTTATGCAAATCCTTGCTTGAGGTTGGTAAATAACCGATCACCATCTTACTAGCATCCACAGCGTTTCTAGTCCTTTGGGTACTCAATACATCCCAGCAGTGCTTAATACGGTGGTGTAAAATAGGGAGAGCCACCTTTTCTACTAAGACTGGAACCACATCCGAATCATTAGAACCTGAGGGACTCTCATTATCTTGCATACCATAGTCAAAAAGAACCTTGTGCCAATCCATGTCGAAGAAATCGGTTGTTTCATGGAGGGGATCCCACTTCAGGAGCTCCAGTCTCACAAAAGGGGTGAACACAGATGGTGCACTAAGGGCTACATGAGCATCTCGGTATGCAGAGGGGTACTGAGATTTCCACCCTTCAAACTTGTCCTTGACAGTTCTAAGGCTCGAGTATTCCTCTTTAGCATCACTGAACACATGGTCAGCAGCCTTAAGAAACTCATCCCGGCTGGAAACATAAGCAGTGCTCTCACTGTCACTTTCATCAGTGCTTAGCTCTCCTTCAATCTTCTCAATGTCCTTATTCTTCACTGCAGATGCCAATCTCTTGGTCTCTGACTGGGTCTTCCTTCGTCTTCTGTTCTCTTCCCTGCGCTTAAGATCCATACGCTTCTGCATGTTGATATCTCTGCCAAACTCATCCAACTCAGGTGGGAGGTTGGAACTTTCCCTAGCAGCAGCTGCTGCTGCTTGGGCAGCATTTGATGCAGCAGACAGGTAAGCTGAGCTTGATCCTTTGCTAAGAATAGATACTGCAGCATTTACAGCAGCTTCGATCACACCTGATTCATCAGCTAGGTCAGCCGCACGCCTCTCAGAAATAGCCAAAGCTCGATTTTCATGCAATTTCTGTATGTGTTCCTCCAACTCCTCTATTAAAAATGCCTTGTCATTCAAGAAATCACACATCACAGAAATATAATCACGGAGCTCCTGCATATAGACAAACCTCTTTTCGGCATCCTGCAAACCACTCTCCAGGCTTGATATCTCTGAAAGAGCTTCGTTAAGATGTGTGTCGGTCTTCACTAAAGCACCGACTGTTGTCTTGTGAGTCTCCCTAAGCTTTCGGATGTTGTCTTGCAGGGCTTTATTTGCAACATCCGCTTGTTGAGCGATGGACAAGAAATCTGCAGTTCCTGATGCAAAAACTGATGCCGCAGGCACAACGCCACTAAGGGAGGGCTGGTAATGGGAACCCACTGGGTATCCAAACGGCTGTGGCTGAACCTGCATAGCAGCTGGTACCCCATTTGCTGATCTCTGAGTAGAAGCATCGTCCATCCTCCGACCAAGACCCTTCCTGAACTGCTCTTCCTCCCATCTCCTCTCTTCTTCATCGTCGTCATCATCATCTCTATCATCATCAACCTTCCTGCTGCCATCACTGAGATCCCCCAAACTGGTGGCAGGACCCCTGTTACTGATCCCACCAAATACACTTTTTGTGCTCCTCGGGACATCACTAGGCTTGTCAGTGTACATTGCAATCCGATCCCTTGTTTCATTGTCATCCTCATCACTTGACTCACCACCACCACCCCGGCTGCTCAGCACACCGCCACCATCAAGAGAGATATAATCTGGCGCCACATGCCTTGGCTGCTGCCGCTGCTGTCGCTTTGCCCTGATGGCTTCAATGGTTGCACGGTCAGGTATCACTGGCCCTTCATCCTCTTCATCTCCTTCCTCCTCTTCTTCAGATTTATCTTCCTCCTTGTCATGCTTCTGTATCCTTGGCCCAATGCTGGCCTCGGACATAGGTTTCACCAAACCTTTAAGAATAACCACCGTTTCTGTTGCAGCTGCGGTGGTGGTAGCTGGGGTGGAACTTGCAGGGGTACCAGCCAACTTTTGTGACCGGGGCTCAGTCGCCGGAGTCTGCGGTTGGGAACGCAAGAGGCTCCCAGGGAGCGGGCGCGCATTCTTCTGGAGCTCCCGGAGGCGCTCTGGTGTGTACTCCCCAGCATGGGACTGGAAGTTGGACGGCTTAGGCGCCGACACAGCAGCGACGGCAGGCGCCGGCGAGCTCCTGATCCGGTCCCTGGCGGGCGTGAGGCGGTGGAGCGCTCCCGCGGCCGGGGACGCCGTGCGGGCCGGGCGCACCGAGGCCGTCGGGGGGCGTCGGCGCTGCGCGAATGGGCCCTCCTCGGCGTCGTCCTCGTCCTCGTCGTCCGCGAAGCTGAGGCGGCTCGCCCCCTGACGCCTCGGCGGCGACTTGGGCTTGGGCACCGTTAGGCTTTTCGTCTTCGTAGAGGTGGCGGTGGAGGGCTTGGAGTGGCTTCCGCCGTCCCCGTTGGCGTCCTCGTCGTCATCCGCGCGGCGTCGGAAGTTTTTGCGGTTGCTACTCATACCGGCTCGCCGGGACGTCACCACCGGAGGAAACCTGAGAAGTTTTAGGGTATTGGATTAAGGCGGGCGTATACAGAAACCTTCGATTCGAAGGGTGAGAAAGAGGACATGGTGATCGAACCTGCAGCTGCTTCGGCGGCGGCGTCTAGGGTTCCGGCGAGGGAGATGGCGGTGCGGAGCCGGTTGGGATTTGGGAAGATCCGTGTGCGTGTGCGAGAGCTGGGAGAAGAGAGGGGCTGCTGGGTTTGAGTGGATTCGATTCGTAGTCCAACAGAGAATCGCTAGGGCCGAACCAACTTCGATATCGACATGAGGCCCATACAGCCCATTGAGTAGGCCCAGTTCGTATTTGGCCCGTTTGCTCATCGTCGTCGTCTTCATGAGTGGTCCACACTCCGCACCATCCCTGCCGCATCGCCATTTCTCCGTCCCAAAACCCTAGGCTAGTCCCCCCCAACACACACACACCTGATCGATCGGAGGCCATGGCGACGGCGACGCTCCGATCCGCGGCCTCCCTCCGCGGGGCTCTCCTCCGCCACTTATCCGTGGGTCCCGCCTCGACTCCGCACGCCGTCTCCCGGGTCCCAGGTATCTCTCCGCCTCTAGATCGCTCCCTTCTCTCCGCCGTGGTTGTACTCCCGCCTCCGTGTTAGCTTCGATCCCAAAAATGGTGACGTCTAAGATACGAGTGCATGCCTGAAATGTCTGAGGAACAGTGACCGTATGTTTTCTTGTTTGATTATTGTTATGCCTGGGACGGTGGGAACAGGTGTGCGCTGTTCTTCTCTGGCAGATTGGTTGCGGCTATGTCATGTATAACTGTGAATTGTTAGGTTTCTTCAAAAAAAAAACGTGAATTGTTAGGGTAGATGATGGCACCTTCAAACGTTTCAAAGGAAACGTGATATTTGCTAGAGGATAGGATGCCAGACGGAGTACTAGCCATTCGTTTAGAGACTATTGTAATTTGCAAGGCTCAGTGATGTTATCTTCAGCCTCGGTAAATCCCTGCTCTAGATTCAAAACTAGGTATAATTTGCGAATGGCCTAATGTCTATTGTTCTATATGAGCTCCACTCGCACTATATAGTTGCATTTTGCCAGCTTACTTACAGTGGTACGTAGGGTGCAATGGCTGGTATATTATGTCAAATCTAGTGTTTCATTTCCATATTTTTTCATCAAATAATGATGTGTGCCTTGACTAAACTCTCTGACCTGTTGGATAACTGAAGCGAATGTTAATGTCCCGCATACTTGTTGTTGATTGTGTGCATCACTGTAAAGCACTATACCATGCCAAACTGTGCTCATTTTTTTTTTCTTCTTCTTCTACAGATTTCCATGTTCCTCAGTCTATTATGTGGAGGCATTTCTCAACGTCCAGGCCTAATTCTCTTGCAAGGCATGACAACTTTGGTCTGGTTACCTGTTTGCACACTCAGATAAGATGGGCTTCGCAGGCTGCTGCTGTGAAAGAAACTGAAGCCAGTGGCAGCAAGATAAGCATCGGACCCAAACCAAAACAGATCAAGGAGGATGACGAGGATGCTAACCTGGTATATCAAGGGCCAATATCATCAACCATAAAGAAAGTGAAGCTTCTCTCTCTGTCCACCTGCTGCCTCTCCGTGTCGCTAGGGCCAGTGATAACATTCATGACTTCACCTGACATGAATGTGATCCTCAAGGGAGCAGTTGCATCCACCGTCATTTTCCTCAGTGCCACTACAACTGCAGCCTTGCATTGGTTCGTGAGCCCATACATTCACAAGCTCCGGTGGCGTCCTGGTTCAGATAGCTTTGAGGCTGAGGTGCTGACATGGCTAGCTACTCCCCTTAAAAGGACTGTCAAGTTTGCCGATGTCAGGCCTCCCGAAACAAACAGGCCTTTTGTCACCTTTAAGGCTGAGGGGAACTTCTACTTTGTCGATGCTGATCACTTCTCGAACAAGGCCTTGTTGGCTAGGCTAACACCCCAGAAGCTTCCTCATGAGTCTGCGTTCAAGAACTTGTGATTGGAAGTTGTTCCACTTGCCCATGCCTGCACTTTTGGTCGTGAGCCTTCGTAGGCAGTTTGAAATCATTTCTGTGATAATAACTCTTCCTGCTAATACTTTCCTGAAGATGTGTTACTATATATTTGTACTGTTGCTTACATTCTATATGTGGAGATTTGCTAGCTGCTTGTGTCGAGCAGTTTTAGTTTAGGAAACACTATGAGGTCTGGTGTTGACAGTTGAATCTGCATTTTGAATAAGTAGATGGTAAGATATCTGCCTGGGATCCTTAAATGTCTTTTTCTATCTGAAATTGCCTTACTTTGCCTTGCTGCCAGCAATGGCTTGGAATCTGATTGCTCAAATGTAAGCTGGTGCTCCTGTGTTGCGTTGGGGCAGCATAATAACTACTCATCCCTGGCGTTCTGCATTATTGAGTCATTGTACAAGAGTTGTGTGTACCTTTTCCATTTGCTTGCTGGTTGATTCGTGCACCCCAGGTTCATCAACATGGAGCACGGTTCTCGGAGCCTGCTCTGTCTCATGAAATACTATGATCCTACAGGCCGTATTTAGTACCTTGATCCTTTCGTCTGTGCGAGCAGGCCGGCAATGCTAACTGACGTTCTGCCTTGTTTGACAGGCTGACAGCCATCGATTGGTTTTCAGTAACGTGTTGCGGCAGCTTAATGTTACCATTAAGGAGACCACAGACCAGCACCCTTCGATATGATATGATCACGTTTCTGTTTCTGCTTTACTAAGAACTCAACATCTAAGACAGACCAAAGTTTTTTTTAAAAAGAAAAAAGAAAAAGTCAGTTAGTTTGACAATCATTCTCACACTAACATGAAAAGAAAAAAAATAAAGGATAATGTGGTACTTCATCAAAAGGGAGCTCTCATCCCTGGCGTTCTGCATTTTGTCTGGCAATCCACATCTAGGACACCACAACTCAAAATCTCTTGATTTGATTAGTCCACGAATTCCTTGTTGCAAATCCCGATGACAATACCACCATTCGCGTTTCAGTCAGGATCACATCGTTACAGACAGCAAGCGAAATGTGGATATTTCAAACCATGTGGACAGCAGCAAAATTCCACATTGGTCAGTTGTACTCAGGACTATTCAGACACCAAATCCCCCAACTTCTTTCGGAACTTTGGAACAGCGTCAGCTTTAATTGCCATCACTAAGCCCATCTCTTTGTAATTATTCATCTGCATGAAGAGCCAGAAAGTTCAGTTTAGGAACAACTTCTAATTTTTACGAACAGGCATATCATTTGAAATTCAGCTATGGATATCAATGGCAGATTACAAATAACCACCAGGAGGTAGATTACATACACATAATTATCAGGTGGGACTATAACAACAGTTCAAGACACTGAAAAGAAACAAAAGTTCCGACTTCACATTCTTTGGCTTGGGCTACTAGTATTTTCTCCAGTTTTTATAAGGACATGATATTAGTGGTATCATGCAATCCAAATACCGACTAAAAGTACCATACATACAATAGAACTAGTCGGCAATTGCATATTTCAAGATCACAAAGCAGCAAATGACAAAATGCAACTGACCTCCTGTTGAGCTGACTGTTCCAAACGTATAGGAAAAGTGAAAGACCATGAGCTAAGCTGAAAAAGAAATAATTTGTTAGCATCGATACAAGAAATACAAACAATGAATATCTGAATAACATGCTTTGATACCTCGTGAAAAATTTCATCCTTCAACTTCAGATAGATAACAGGTTCATCATCATCTTTGCTCTTCTTTGATTTGTGTTTTGCAGGGGTTTTCCTCTGCACACTCGACAAGTGAGTAATGACCAAGCAATCCACAACAAAATGAACACACATTCACATACAGGGGGATAACACGTCATCTTACATGGTAATTGGTGCCAGGCTAGAAGCAATAGAAAGGGGAAACAGAATATATTTCTCACCTCGAGCATTCTGACGATCATCAGGTATGAAAATTGAAAGGCTGCCTGAACGTTGAATGTCCACTTAGCTGGCATTCTGAAAATTGGAACATAATTTGCACATTCCATCCTGTAGATAAGTCAAAATAAGTGTAAACCCATATTTCCTTGCCTTTCTGAAAGGCATGATGTAGCAGAGGACTGTCAAGGAGATTACAGATCCTACAATGACACAGTTAGTATTAGTTCAAATCATAACACATAGAACCAATTTATTGGAAGCCAGTGTCAATTTGATGAACAGAAGATTAAGTTAATAACTCAATATTGAATTTTTAAAGAACATAATAAGTGCCAAGTCAAAACACAGAATTAAGATAATAAAATTACAGTTCGCAAGGAACCCCATCAACTCATGGAAGACATGCCGTTAGGACAAAAAAATTGTCAAGTACAACTTATATAAGTTGGCGAAGGAAACATCATTTCTATTGGGATGCAAATTCAATATATAAAGTACTGCGTGGAAACAAGAGTAGCGATTAATGAAAATCACTTTATTGTAACAAAATCTTTGTTATGAATGAATAAGTTAATGCTACAGCTTACAACAAATGGAGTATAAAAAGTACTCCAGCATGAGCCCATCGGCGTATTAAAAAGGTATGGATGATCTCTAAGGCCTCCAAATCTCATCCCAACAATTGTCAACCACCTTTTGAACTCTCTTAGTCTGACAAACTCCTCTCACTACGGTATACCAAATGACAGCCTCTGGCACAATATACTTAGCCAGCATGATCATTACAACATCTCCTGCTGCTCTATATCTATCTCTATAGCATAGCCTCATAGCCAGTCCCTCTAAGAATTCCCTCCCTTTCCCCTCTACAACTCCAATCTCCCGCAAGAAAATATTGCATGTTACTGTGTCTGGATCACACATTTGATCAAGCATCTGGTTAAGCAAGTCCATTGCCCGAGGTAGGTCATTTGTGCGGATCAGCGCATCCAATAGAACATTATAAGTAATGACATCAGGTTTGGCATCACCCTTTGCCAGCATGTCATTAAATAGACAGAGACCACCATCTACCATCCCAGACATGCATAAACCTTTCATCATTGAAGTATAAGCAATGGTATCAGGTGCACAGCCACGACCAAGCATGTTTTTCCAGACCATCATAGCATCTTTTAATCTCCCTACATCGCACAACCCACTGATCAATATGCTGTAACTAATGGCACTTGGCACACAGCCAACCTTTATCATCTCCTCCCACGTAGAGAGTGCCCGCGATGAATTACCAATGTGGAAATAACCCCGAGTCATTGAGCTGTATGTCATGATATTTGGGATGCATTTCGCATCAACCATTTCTTCAAATAACATTTCAGCTTCTGTCATCCTCCCAGACCGTGCAAAGCCATCAATCATTGCTGAATACAAAACAACGTTCGGCTTTACCCTAGCTGCCACCATTGCCTCCCACACCATCAATGCCCTGTCAACCTCTCCTGACTTGCAAAACCCGGTGATCACAGCCGAGAACACAAACTCATTGGGTGCAAGCCCCTTACTCCCCATTTCCTGAGCCACCTTCCATGCATCCTCCACTCTCCCACACTTCACCAGCCCATCGATCACTGCTCCATAGGTCATCAACCCTGGCACAATCCCTTCATTCTCCATTCTTCTCATGATGTTCATCGCTGCCCTCGCCTTCCCACACAACAGTAGACCATGCAGCAGTACATTGTATGTCACCGCGGTCAGTGTGCAACCCTTCAGCTGCATAAACCGAAATAGCTTGGCTGCCCCATTGACATCCCCTGCACGCAGCATCGCCCTCAGCACGGGGTTAAAAGCCTCAGCAGACACCACTCCATCAACCACCATCTCATGAACCAGCGCCACCGCGTCTTCCACCCGCCCTGCATCGGCCAGTGCAGAGACGACGGTAGAGTAGGTGAACTTATCCGGCACAAGATTCCACGCTGGAATGACATCGTGGAGGATTCCCAACGCGATTGCAAGATAGAGGCCGTGGTTCCTTGGGACCATAGAGGAGCAGATGCACTTGAGGAGGAGGTTGAAGGAGAGCAGAGTGGGAGTGAGGCCAGGGAAGCGGCGGAGGGAGTGGGAGAAGAAGGCCGGAAGGAGGTGAGGGGGGAGGGGAAACCGGAGTAGCGCGGAGTTGAAGGAGTGGTGGGTGGTGGTGGCGGACGTGGGCGGGGAGAGGAAGAGGCGGAGCGCAAGGATCGGGCGGGGCGAGCGGGCGAGGGCGGCGACGAGGTGGGGGAAGATGTGCGGGGAGGCGTCGTGGGGAAGGCGGCAGAGGAAGCCGAGGACGGAAGCGGCGGACGGCGGCGGGGAGGCGACGGCGAGGGATCGCGCGACGGATAGGAGCGTAGGCCCGGCGGCCGGGAAGAGCTCGTCAGCGAGGGGCAATTCGTCGTCGGATGAAGAGGACGAGCGGCAGCCGCGCGCGGTGGAGGCGGCAAGGGAGGGTAAGCAGGTGAGACGGCGGAGGGAGAGGGGGAGGCGGGTGGCGGGATGGGGCATAGGGGGAGGCGAAGCATGGCGGTGGGGAGGACGGCGGCGGTGTTCAGGCGGAGGAGGGCCGGCCTTGCAGCATTTTTGCTGCGGGGTGGGCAATCCTTGCAAAATCTCGGTCTAGGGTTTATGCGCTAATAAAATATAGTCTTTTGTCATTATAAAAGTTTGTAGTTTCGTCTATATAGTTAAAAATGTTGAACAGACACATATTTCACTGGTCTGATTTTTTTGTTTGCCCTCCACACAGCTTCCATAACGGTGTCAAACTGCAACGAAAAACATCAAAAATACTTTTAAATCTAAATATGTTATTATTATTATTGAGCGTCTTAAAAATGTTGAACATAACATGTTCCACTGGTCGGATTTTTTTGTTTACCCTCCACACCGCTTCCATTAGATTTGTCTCTAACGAAACTGTGATGGTAAACATAAAAAAAATTCTTAAATCTGAATGTGCTATTATTATTTTTGAGCGTCTTATGGCCTAAAATAAAAAACTCAGAACTAGAAAATTATAGATCTTGTCAAGTTCTACAATTTTCATATAAAAAGTATCTTCATTTAATTTCGTAAAAAATGATTTTTCTAAGGCATATTAATCATATCTTTTTCGGTACAAAATCATCTTTTTTTTATGGACTAAAATGAAGATATTTTTTAGATGAAAATTGTACAACTTTCTAGTTCTAGGTTTTTTTCATTTGAAGTCGTTAATACGCTAAAATAAGAATTGACACATTCAGACTAGGGTATTTTTGTCTTTTCACACCAGACACCATTAGAGCCAAATCTAACATAAGTGGTGTGTGAAGCCCAAAAAAAAGTTCAAACTAGTGGCACTGGAATTATAAACTTTTATAATGGTTAATGGCACATATGGAAAAAGACTCTAAAATATATAGCGTTATAACAAGAACTACCCATTGAATAGGCCCATTCTATCTCCGTCAGAAAACCCTAGACTAGTCCCCCACACCACGCCTGATCGATAGGAGGCCATGGCGACAGGTGACACAGCCGTCGAATAACTTTCACTAAGCTGTTGCTGCTTCTCGTAACCACCCAGAAGACCAGGACCCATGATATGGTCTGATATTCTGATCCCGTTTCTGTTTCTGCTTTACTAAGATCGCAACAATCATTCTCACATAAACATGAAAAAAGAATAAGATATAATGGTATATGTATCAAACGGAAATCCCACAATCCACATCAGCTAAACTATGGTGCTTATCTATAGAACATGTACTAGGATACACAACTCAAAATCTCTTGATTTGATTAGTTCATGGATGAATCCTTGTTGCAAATCAACACCAAAAACAGTACCACCATTCGCGCTTCACAGTCAGAATCACAGTCGTTACTGACATCAAGCGAGATGTGGACATTTCAAACCATGTGGGCAGCAGCAAAATTCCACATTGGTCAGTTACGCAAAGGACTATTCGGACACCAAATCTTCCAACTTCTTTCGAAACTTTGGAACTGCGTCAGCTTTAATTGCCATCACTAAGCCCATCTCTTTGTAATTTTTCATCTGCGTGAAGAGCCAGAAAGTTCACTTTAGGAACAACTTCCAATTTTCACAAACAGGTAGTTATAAGCCACATATCACTTGAAACATTCATCTATGCATACCAATGGCAGATTACAAATAACCATCGGGAGGCAGATTACAAATAAATCATCATGAGGGACTGTAACAAAAGATCAAGACACGGTGAGAAGAAACAAAAGTTCCAACTTCACATTCTTTGGCTTTGGCTACTAGTACTTTCTCCAGTTTCTAAGGACATGATATGATTGATGTCATGCAATCCAAATACCGACTAAAAGTACCATACAGACAACCAGTCGGCATTGCATATTTCAAGATCACAAAGCAGCAAATTGTAAAATGCAACTGACCTCCTGTTGAGCTGCCTGCTCAGAACGTATTGGAAAAGTGAAAGACCATGAGCTAAGCTGAAGACGAAAGAATCTGTTAGCATCATAAAAGAAATACAAACAACAAAAACCTGAATAGCATGCTTTGATACCTCGTGAAAAAATTCATCCTCTAACTTCGGATAGATAACAGGTTCGTCATCATCTTTGCTCTTCTTTGATTTATGTTTTGCAGGGGTTCTCTGCACGCAGTAATCGACAAGTGAGTAATGACCAAAGCAATCCACAACAAAATGAGCACTCATTCACATGCAGGGGGGTACAAATAGTGGACATTGTTGAACAACACGTCATCTTACATGGTTCTACTCCACTGAGCATGGAAACATGCCCCTTTAAACATTCAAGGCAATTGGTACCAGGCTAGGCAATAAAAAGGGGAAACAGAATATAATTCTCACCTCGAGCATTCTGACAACCAGCAGGTAGTGCTTGAACCGGAAGGAGTCCTGGAGTTCTTTTGTTGGCTTAAGCCATGCAGACACAGTTGCAAGTTCATTATCCGAGTAGAATTAGACAGAAAATAAGGTGCCTCAGAACATAAAATTACCTCATCTTCTGTTGCCCAGGAGACCTCGTCAAAGAGCGCGTCATACAGCTTAGGCACGAGTTCATAAGGGAAATTCACAAAGCGTCGACACACCAGCAGGCCCACACTCGACGCTTTCTCTTCAAGCAGAGACCTGAGCTGCTTCTTAGTACCCTTGTCGGCACAGACAGCAAGCAGATACTCCTTAAGATCCTTAATGCATTTTTGCTCCTGCAAAAATCATCAGCAACAAAGAGATATAGCATGAGCATCAACAGATCAAAATCGAACATCTTGTTCATAAATGGAGCCTGGATGCGCGAATCATACAGCGTATCGTCCCAAATTGAGCACACTAATGAGACCAAACAGATCATCATCGTCAGTGTTGTTACTGGAATTGGCCTTCTCAGCACCGTTTCCTTCCCCTTCCTCGTCGTCGTCATCAGCCAACTTGGCGACCGTGCCTACTGTCGTCTGTGCCAGGATAAGGTCAACGAAGCCGGTGAGGTCCCAGGGCTTGGAGTCGAGGTACGTCTTGAGCAGCAGCCTGACGCCATGGAAGTCGCTCGGCTTGGGGTCGAAGAAGGCGAAGTCCGCTTGCACCGTCTCGAGCTGCAAGTGCCAGGCCCCGCATCCAATTTAGGAAGGGGGAAACAAAGGATTCCAGGTAAGAGGAGAGCTTCAAGTTCCAGGTAGGCGGTCACCTCCTCCGAAGACTCCTCGCCGTCGTCGCTGTCGCTGTCGCTGCCGCTGGTGCTGAAGCTCTCCTCTTCGCTTCCGCTGCTGCCGCGGTCCTCCACCTCGTCGCTGGAGGGCTCGGCCCGCTTCGCGCGCTTGGACGGCGGCCGCGGCATGTCGACTGGCGAAAAAGCGAGGCGTGCATTGAGTGGCGTGATTCGAGCAACGGGGCTAGGGGTAACTCGTTCCGGGACGAGCGGAAGTGTACCTTGGCGAGGGGTTTCGGCGTCGGCGTCGGCGTCGGCGGCGGAGGTGGAAGCGTCGGGGAGAGGAAGCGGTTTTGGACAGCTTGAGGCGGCGGCGGAGAAGATGAGGGAGCGAGCAAAGGGGGAGAAACCGGCGAACGGGGCCGGAAGCTTTCGGCCGCCGGGCATTCCTCAGAGGTGTCGGGGGCAGGCGGAGCGGCGGCGGCGGGGGAAGAGGGCTGCTGGCGGCGGCGCTCGTGACTCGTGAGCTGTGGCTTGTGTGGGAGTTGTGGACCGATCGATGTGGGGTCGAGTGGAATGGGCTTTGGAGCGGACTGGGCTGGGCCTCAGGAGGGCTCTGTTGGCTGCTGGGCCGTGTGAAATCCGAGATTAGAGATTAGAGAAGCCCTTCTTCGTCAGTTCGTCTAACGTCTTATTCCTGTGAGTCCCCCCCGGCGGCGGCGGCGGACGCTCGGTTGGGAGAGGAAGGCGTTGCGCGGCGCAAAAGCCTAGCTCCTCGTCGGCGTCAAGTGCTCTCTTGCCTCGCCGACCTTGGGGGCGCGATGAGGGTGAAGGTGATTTCGCGCTCCACCGACGACTACACGCGCGAGCGCAGCCAGGACCTGCAGGTAGGCGTCCCCTATCGCGACGGTGATTCCTGTCCTTGCTGATACAACTGCCTGTTCATCCGGCTTCTCGTTGTTGAAGAGTCTGATTCTATGCTATCCTTTTAGTTTGTTGGATTGGATTCCACTTCCAGCGCTGGTTGGAGTCTTTGCCCAACTGCATGTCAATCATTTAGGCATCGATAGAATTTCACCTCACTCCACCACTGACACTCCCTAATGCACTTGTTGGTCTCAACAGAAAGTATTCCGCAACTATGATCCAGCGCTTCGTAGTCAAGAGAAAGCTGTTGAGTATACTCGGGCACTCAATGCTGCCAAGTTAGAGAAGGTATGACACTTACTCCGCTGCATTCATGTTTTGTTTCTTTATTACTTTCTATTTCTATTGGGATGATGATTTTTCTGTTCTACTTTGTGCAGATATTTGCTAAGCCATTTATCGGAGCTATGGATGGGCATATTGATGCGGTATCGTGCATGGCCAAAAACCCCAATCATTTGAAAGCAATATTTTCTGGTTCAATGGATGGAGGTATGTACCTATTTCTTGACTAGCTTTTGTCTTATTGACTATATTTTCACAGTATTATCTGCTGCTTGGTAAATTGCATCAATCAATTACTTATATGATCACAAGTACACACAACAGATTTATGGTTTTGTGACTTTAAGTGGCGGCCTTGTTGGTGATACTAATGTAAGGTTGCATTCCTGAGTTCGTTTGCATCTTTGTAACTGGCTAGCTGCTTCAAGTGAACTATTGTCATGCTTCTCCTTTATAGACAATCCTCCAGTCCTCATCTTCGAATTATGTACTGGTTCGGTGATATTTTGGCATGAACGAAAATGCTATTTGGGTGTTATTATAAAATAAAACATGGGCCTGCTATGTTTCCCTGAATTTGTTTGTCAGGGCCTTAAGCATGCATTGCACTTTCTTATTATCAGGAAATTGTAAAATGGCTCTCTAGGATGCAGTCTATGGTAATTCCCTTTTGTCACCTTTTGTTATTCTGAGTGATCACCAAGACTTACAGAAAAGTGATTCCATATTGGTGGACTATGTCTTATTATTATTATACCTAGTGAACAGGTAATCCGGCGCTTTTCTAAAATATTATAGTTTCGTTGTCAAGGCTCTTGAGCACCTCATGAGTCTTGTGTCATATATTTATGAATAGGACACCATTGCAGTATTCACTTGTGCTTGTTGTAGCTATTGTATGCAAATTTGCAACCTGATAGATTTAATCACTTCTTAAACGTTGAACATGGTCCATCATCTTCATTATTTTTCACGATTTTTTTTTTGGATCCATGCTTTACCTTTATCTGTCAATCAACTTGAAACTTGAATAATAAAGGGTAAAATCCACCTTTCTGTTTTCTTGGCAGATGTTCGCCTTTGGGACATCGCTGCGAGGTACTGCTACTGTATTGAGGATTACCTCATTCCTTAACCATCTGATATCTGTTTCTTCCATTTGCTCTTGGATTTATATCATATTTCATGCCGTACATCGAAGTAAATTTGTGATTTTTACAACAATGACAACAGGAAGACAGTTTGTCAGTTTCCCGGACACCAGGGTGCTGTAAGAGGTTTAACAACATCCACGGATGGTGATCTTCTTGTATCATGTGGCGTTGACTGCACGTAAGTCAATTGTTGATATCACTTTCTTTGTCTTCTATAGACAGAGGTGTTCTAGTGTCCACTGGATTTCTATATGTGTCAAGTTGCTTTATATCTCTAAACAATAGGTAGCAGTAACGCATCTTATGCACTTACATACAGCCAAGAAAAACTTACTGTAGGCATGATTGGTGGGGTTAGAGATAATAAATAAAGCTTAAAGATGCCAATATTTTAGAGCATCAACTGATGACCTATTTTTGGAGTGGTTTATATGCCTAAGAGGCTAAGAACCATCTGTACTAAGTACATTGGGCTGCCTTCCAGGGTTTATAGAGATTATGCATGTTATGCTGTACCATACTGTGCGGGAAAAAAAAAACCTAACGACGCCATCCACGACGTTGAACGGACGTCTCGCTCACATCTCCCTGCTCGCCTCCCACCCCTTCGCTGGTTCGCCCTTCTCCTCCGTCTCGCCAGAACCGCCGGCGGAGCCACACAGACTGCTGGTGCTTCCTTGCATCTGGGGGCTGCTCCTCCAGACTGCATAGTTCCCCTTCCCGTATCACGCTCTGTAGTTGCCGGAGGTGGTGGCGCGGAACGACGCAGCCACGCAGAAGATGCACAGGATGACAGGATTCCGCTCTCGTCTAATGCATGGCGCAGCCCCGAGGCTTGTGTGAGTTCAGCTGCGCTCTTGCCTTGCTTTCGTTTGCTTTGACTTCGATCTGTGAACGACCGGCTGTGATTTCCGTCCGTCTTTCCATTTTCAGAAATAAAAAATTGACCCTTTGCCGTGGTGTGCTGCCGTGCTGCCTGATTAGATGGAAGAGGCCACAAATCGGGTTCTGTTTTTCGGATCTGTAGTTCTCTATAGGATTCTGAAGTTATTATGAACTGTTGCTGCGTTCATAACAATAAATTTTCACGTGTGAAGTATGGACTCGTACGACCAAACAAACATGACCTTGTACTAAAATATACTATTCCATACAACCATCCAAACAAACAGCTTGTATCGTCCCGTACACCTTACCAAACATCCAACATGTACAGTTTTATCCAGAATTGTCCCATCCAACATCTGTGCATCCAGAATGATCCATCCCATTCATCTCTATACACGGAACCAAACACTACCTAAAGCAGTTCTATTATTTCTGTTATCTGTGTTATTACCATACACTTACACTCTCATTGGTTGCAGTGTTCGGCTCTGGAAAGACCCGATGCTTAAAATGGTGGACACTAGCGACCATACTGGAGTTAATTCCCAGGCATGCACTGTATAGACACATCTATCTCGTTTTACTCAAATCCTGTTTCTCACTTGTTCAATTCACTAATTTGGTGTGCAGCCATCAGCAGTCTACACCTGGAAGCATGCATTCTGGTAAAGGCATCATTTATTTTTCATATCTTAGCTTCCTCTTGCTTTTATATCTGAAAAAATTGTGATAAGAGTCTTTGTTCTCATTACTTTTAGGGGTGCTGACCACCAGTGGGACGGTAATCTTTTTGCAACTGTTGGTGCTCAAGTTGATATATGGGATCCTGACAGGTATATTGATTCATTTCTAGCTATTTCAATTTTGTGTCTATGTGTTACCAGCGTCAACACTCACTTTATCTGTACAGGTCAGAGCCAATAAATAGCTTCGAATGGGGAAAAGATACGGTTCTTTCTGTGCGATTTGATCCTGGAGACTGTAATATTTTGATTACATCGGGCAGGTCAATTTTCTATTTATCTGCTAATTTTGATATGTTTCAAATTGTTTTGCTATGGTTTTATTAGACCCAGGGCACCATGCAATAACTTAAATGAATTGAATGTACATTTTTCTCTATCTTTTCATGCTTGGTAACACTGATGCCATTTCTTGTTGTCATTGTTATCATAGTTGTGAAGGACCTTGTGAGAATATCTCAGCCCCTTATAAACATTTTTCCCCAGAGGTCAATCACTCTGGTTGACATGACATCTCACAGTTATGTAGTGGTATCAACAAGAGGAATAGATAACTTTGTTTCTTGTTTATTGGGACGGCTGTTCAAATGGCCCACTTATGGAGTTATGGTTGCACTAGTTTGGCTACTCCCTCCAGTTTGCAAATAATTGACTTTTTGGACAATGATATGGTCTTCTAAATGTAGCTTTGACCAATGAGCATCTTAACAAATTTATGCTTCTCTGATAGTACTTTTGAGAAGGGCGGGCTTGGTGCAAGCGGTAGTAGAGTCTTACTGCCTGTGACCGGAAGGTCCCGGGTTCGAGTCGCGGTCTCCTCGCATTGCACAGGCGAGGGTAAGGCTTGCCACTGACACCCTTCCCCAGACCCCGCACAGAGCGGGAGCTCTCTGCACTGGGTACGCCCTGATAGTACTTTTGAAGACAAATCTATGCATATGATCTCCAGGTTTTTGAACTAAATACTTTAAAGTTGTTTTTCATCAAAGTTTTAAAATTTTGACTCAAACCTTGTACAAAACGTCAAATATTTGCAAACCAGAGGGAGTATATGAGTTCTAGACTGTCACTGTCTTCTCTCTGTCAGTTACCTTTTCTATGGAGCAAATTGTTTGTTTGTCTGTGATCACCATAAAATTGCTCTAGAGATCAGGACATATGTAACATCTCAATGAGGACAGTGCTCTAGAGATCGCTAACTTTTGTGGTCTCATATATTCCAGTGATCGGAGTCTGACACTCTATGACCTGCGCATGTCATCTCCAGCTAGAAAGCTAATAATGAAGGTCAGTTGGCTCTCGTTTTTGGAATCCTGATAGATGTACATTTCTTCTAGCTTCTATTTTGGTATCTACTGAATGGCATACAGTCTGACATATTATTTGCTTATGCAGACAAGGTGCAATTCAGTATGCTGGAACCCCAGAGAGCCCATGAACTTCACTGCTGTAAGATTAAAAAATTATTTTTATATTTACTTGAGCTGTCACATAATTCTGACTAATATATTATAAAATATTTGTTAAGTCTGGCACTCCAGCATTTTTTTTTTTGAATTGATGAAGTAAGTGGCACTCCAGCATTTGGGAACTGATGTTGTGAACTTGTGTTGCCTTTTGTCGCTAGGCAAATGAAGACACAAACTGTTACTCCTTTGATGCTAGAAAGCTAGATGAAGCGAAAATTGTTCACAAAGGCCATGTTTCAGCAGTGTAAGTGTATTTTTCTGCAAAATTACTTTTTTTGCTATTTATTTAGTAGGTGGGTCTGTAAAGATTTATTATCTTGACTAGCATATATCTCTTATCCATATGAAGAGCATATGAATATTGAGGAAAGATAGAAGAACCTATGAATATTTCCCTTTATGGCATATATCTCTTATCAAATTGAAGAACATCGAAATAAATCATGGGGTACATAGAGAAAATAGAAACTGGAATTGGCACTTAATTCCGTGGTGGGGTTGCTACATTGCCATAAAGTTGATTATTCATTAAACGTGGCTTAATCCTTCTGAAGATGCTATGTTGCATTAGCTCATAAGCACAGAAGATATCATTTCATGCAGTTGATCTGTACTTTTGACATTCGTAGCATACTGTCTAGTTTCTTTTACTTTGTGGGGTCATCTTACATGAATTTGGGTTTCCAGGATGGATATTGACTACTCACCAACAGGGCGTGAATTTGTCACTGGTTCATATGATAGAACAGTATGTTTACTCCTAAGAACTTACAATGATTTCATAGTCTAAGTATGTATTTGTTATTCCTATTCAGTGATTGATATATAATATAATGCTTTTGCAGGTAAGAATTTTTAATTATCTTGGAGACCACAGCAGAGAGATTTACCATACCAAGAGGATGCAAAGGTTCTTCTTTGTTCCACCTTTTCTTTCTAGTTAGTGTTGGTGCCCTCATTTTTAGACCAAAGTCCAGACTTGGTTCCTTATACTTTACTTCAATGGCTGCCTTTTCTTTCTATGGGACCAGTTGACCCTCAAAATCTCTATGATGTAAAACTGAGTGGATCGGTTAGTGTGAGGTCTATTTATGTTGATGTAGGGGTCTCGGAATGGGGGCATGGAGCATGCTTTAACTGAATTTTGTTTTCTATATAGTTTCAGAAAATAGTTTTGTTTAGATGAGTTCATCAAATTTGCATTATATGCATTTTTTTCCCAAAGATAATTTCCCTCTATTTGCCACGAACACTTTTGTAAGATTCTAATCAATTTACCATACTACTTTGCAGAGTGTTTTGTGTGAAGTACACCTTCGACGGGACCTATTTAGTCTCTGGCAGTGATGATACAAATCTTCGTCTGTGGAAGTCCAAAGCTTCAGAACAACTTGGAGTTGTAAGTTTTTTAATGCCATTCAGTGTTTTGAAGTTGCTGTTGTGTTTTGGCATGCTTGTTGCCTTCTGCTGTTTAGAGTCATGCTGAATTCAGGTGGTAGCTTTTTTGGACAAGTTCACATGGCGTCTGGCTTCTCACCGTGGATGCTGTGACTTAGCAGTATTGCAATAGCCAATTGTGTATGCCCTGATTAACTGATTTACTTCCTAGATTATGACTATAGTTGCTCTTTAATATGTATTTTCATATCCATTAAGGGATGCAAGAGGGCTGGATTCTACAGACCATTTGACCCATTTGTTGTTATTTTCCTTTGCCATTAATGGTAAGATCCATGTTTGAGAAAAAACTTATGACAAGAGCCATGCATAGAGAAGTGAATCAGCAGCTACATGGAATTAAACATTGAGATGGTCATCAGGCTTCCCTTGATCATGTTTGGTCATCGCTTGGGTTCGCTTGTCCAACACCGGTTGAGATGGTTTGGACATGTTCAACGGAGACCTCTAGAGGCACCGGTGCGTAGTGGAATCTTAAGCCAGGATAGTAACGTGAAGAGAGGCAGAGGAAGACCTAAGTTGACTTGGGTAGAGGCAATAAAATGAGACTTGAAAGAATGGAATATACCCAAAAACTCAGCCTTAGATAAGAGTGCTTGGAAAACAGCTATTCACGTGCCTGAACATTGATTGCTTCTGATGGGTTTCAACTCTAGCCTACCCCAACTTATTTGGGATCTAAAGGCTTTGTTATTGTTGTTGTTGTTTTGATTTTATTACCAGAATTATCCTACTTGCTTGAAAACGATTGCATTAGCTTTTTTGGTACTCGGATCCAGAATGGATCTGGTCCTGTGTGCATTAAGTCGTAATTTGCTTCAAGAATATTAGATGTATAGGAGATGTATTGGATGTATATGTCTTTTCCCTCTACTTGGAGGGCCTCTTTGCATTTGTACACGGTATATTTGACCAATTGGGTTCGTAATACAATCTAGTTGGCCTCATTCTAACATGGTATCAGAGAGCTAGGGTTTCGATTCCACTCATCTTCCTCTGCTGAGCCGCCGTGACCTGCCAACTCCGCTGCCGGTCCACGCGCCTCGGCGCTCCGGCCCCTGTCGCGCGGCCTCGTCCCGCACACGCGCAGGCAGCGCGCGCTGCCCCGAGCTAGTTTGCCCGTGCAGGCCGCGCACGTCGCCCCGAGCCCGTCTGCTCGTACGGCTCCCGCGCTGGCCGAGTGCGCGCCGCCCTGACCTCGACCGCCGGCGCGGCTCCTGCGCGCCAGTCCGAGCCCACCCGCCCGCTCGCGCGGCTCCCGCGCCGGCCACGCGCGCCGCCCCGACCTAGGGTCCACGGCCTTCCCTCGCTCGGTGCCCGCCAGCGCCTCTGTGCGAGTGCGCCTCCACGCGAGCCTTCTCTCTGCCTATTTGCCTTCTTCAAAAAAAAAAAGAAAAAATAGCAACTAGTTGCCTTCTTCCATGGCGTCCCCTGGCTGCCCTGGTGCTGTTCCTGTCCCCCGGTGCCTGTTATCTTCAATGGCACCAATTGGGGCAACTTTGTTTTTCATATGGAGGTCCACATGGATGGCCAGTTATTGTGGGAATACCTCACGGGAGAGCGGATCTGTCCTTCCTGTCCTGTTCTCCCCACACCGCCCACGTATCTATCGGATGCTGATGATGATGCCAAGAGTGCTTTGCTTGAGGCATTTGAGGGTCAGATGGAGAGCTATCAGTTTGATCTCGGTGCTTATGAGACTTTGCCGCGCGAGGAGAAAGCTGCCAAGGCTATCTTACATGCGAGCATGGAGGTTGATCTCTCGCAGTCCCTCAGATGTCTTGCAACTTCACACCTTATGTGGGATCACCTCCGTCACAGTTACGAGATCCGAAATGAAGCGATGTACCTTGCTGTTGTTGAGGAGGATCAGGCGCTTCATCAACTTGACTCTACAGTTGAGGACTTCCATCGTCAGATAGCTGTCTGGCATCACCTCGACAATTTGGGCCCTGAGTTTTGTGGTGGCGGTACTTGCTGGTGCTGTGATCGTCACCGGGACTAGAGTGACACCCTTCACCTTCACGAGTTTCTCTCTCGGCTTCGCCCCGAGTTCGAGACTGTCTGTGCACAGTTGCTGACTCGTCGTCCGCTCTCAGAGGTGATGCCTGAGTTGCGAGCCGAGGAGACAAGTCTTCGAGCTGGGGGTGTGGGTCGTGTTCCGCCGCAGCCCTCCGTCCTGGCGGCCACACCTCCCGAGGCCTCCCCGCCTCCGTCTCAGTCCTCTCCGGTGGTGGCGGGGGCACCTTCTGGTGTTCAATGTGGCTACTGCAAGCTTTATGGCCATGAGGAGAAGGATTGTCGCAAGAAGCAGCGCGACCGACAGGACCCTAAGCCCCTCTCAGGGGCAGGGTACTTGTTCTGTGTCTGCAGCGGAACATGAGGTTCTCACTCTATTTCGTCACTTTAGTACTGCAGCTCAGGCCTCCGCTCCAGGGACTACTACTGCTCAGGTTTCTAGTTCCGCTCCACCATCAGGTACATCATCGCCATGGTTTCTTGACTCTAGCACCTCTTTTCATATGACACCCCATTCGACACACTTGTCCTCTATGTCTTCCCTCGATCCACCTCTTTTTGTTCGCACCGCAGATGGCACTTCGCTTCCTGATGTGTTCTTCCGACATCTTCTTTTGATGTTCCTACTGTTTCGCATGTTCCCAAACTCACCATGCAACTGCTGTCTCCGGGTCAAATCACCGATCATGGCTGTCACATAATCCTTGAGTCTGATTCTTGTTGTGTTCAGGACCTCCGTGCAGGCCTTTTAGTGGGAACTGGGCCTAGGCGTCGGGACTCGCAACGCCTATGGGAGTTTGATTGGTTGCATCTTCCTTCACCTGTTTGGCTCCCTCGTCACCTGGCTCCAGCTTCTGCGTCCACCACTTCGACTTCTCCGACTTTTGCACAGTGGCATCGTCGTCTTGGCCACCTCTCTGGTTCTAGATTGTCCGCTCTTGTTGGTAGTGGTGTCTTAGGTCCTGTTTCTGGTGACACTGCTCTCCATTGTATGGGTTGTAAACTTGGCAAACAACTGCAACTCCCTTATCCTTCTAGTGAGTCTCGCAGAGGCCTTTTGATCTTATTCACTCTGATGTATGGGGTCCTGCACCTTTTGTTTCTAAAGAGGGTTAATCATATTATGTTTTGTTCATTGATGACTATTTGAGATTTACCTGGATTTATCTAATGTCTTCTGGTGGCTAATTTCTTCCTATCTACCAGCAATTTGCCACCATGATTCGTACTAAGTATAACTCTCCCAGTCGAGTTTTTCGTGCGGACTCTGCTGGTGAGTACATATGTACTGCTCATCGTTCCTATCTTGCTGAGCAGGGTACTCTTGCCCAATTTTTATGTCCCGGTGCTCATGCTCAAAATGGTGTTGCTGAGCGAAAGCATCAACGACATTCTTTAGACTGCTCGTGCTCTTTTGATCTCTGCGCTTACTCCTCATTTCTGGGCTGAGGCAGTTTCTATGGCTGTTTTTCTGATAAATCACAAACCCTCTACTGTTCTTCAGGATTGCACTCCCTATGAGCGTTTTTTTGGCACCCCTCCTTCCTATAGCCACCTTTGCTGTTTTGGGTGTGTCTGTTACGTCCTTCCACCTCATGAGCGCACCAAACTCACCGCTTAATCCGTTGAGTGTGTTTTCCTTGGGTACAGTATGGAACATAAGGGTTATCGCTGCTATGACCCAGTTGCTCGTCGAATGAGGATTTCTTGTTCCTTTGATGAGTCCCAACCTTACTATCCTCGTTCCTCCTCCGGTACTTCTGGCACTGCTGAGTCCCTCTCGTTCCTCACTTAACGTGGTGGTATCTTCCACTGTCGTCTCCACCCTCTTCACCACCTCAGGTACCTTTTACTCCACCTCCGCCATGTCCTCCTACTTCTCCACCTCCGCCACCTCCTCCTACCTCTCCACCACCAGTCTCTCCTCCCCATCGTCATTGTGTCCTTCACGTGAGATCACTCACTACTACACTCGTCGTCCGCGACCTGTGCTGCCACTTGACTCTTCCCCATCCGTCCTTGGACCTCCTCCTCGGTCTCCTCGCTATGCTCTTCGTGATCGCAGCACCCTTCGTCCTCCCGATCGCCTTGGCTTCTCTGCTGCCATTTTGGCTGAGCCCGCGACCTATCGGGAAGCTGCTGCTCACCATGCATGCTATGGTTGAGGAGATTGCTGCCCTGGAGTGTACTGGCACCTAGGATCTTGTTCCTTTGCCACCTCATGTCACTCCTATCACTTGCAAATGGGTGTACAAGGTAAAGACCTGCTCAGATGGCTCTCTTGAGCGCTACAAGGCTCGTCTAGTGGTGCGCGGCTTCCAGCAGGAGCAAAGTCGTGCCTATGAGGAGACCTTCGCTCCTGTCGCTCACATGACTACTGTTCGAACTCTTCTTGCAGTTGCTTCTGTTCGTCAGTGGTTGATATCTCAGTTGGATGTCAAGAACGCCTTCCTCAACGGTGAGTTGCGAGAGGAAGTCTATATGCAGCCACCTCCAGGATACTCTATTCCTGATGGCCTGGTTTGTCGGTTGCGTTGTTCTCTCTATGGCCTTAAGCAAGCTCCTCGGGCTTGGTTTGAGCATTTCTCCTCTATTGTCATCGATATTGGTTTTACACCTAGTGACCACGACCCTGCTCTTTTTGTCCACACTTCCCTTGTGGTTGCACCCTTCTTCTTCTCTATGTCGATGACATGATTATCACGGGCGACGATTCTCAATACATTGCTTTTGTGAAGCAACGTCTCAGTGAGACATTTCTTATGTTTGATTTGGGTCCCCTTCGTTACTTCCTTGGTCTTGATGTCACCTCCACATCTGATGGTATTTTTCTGTGAGAAGTACACTCAGGAAATCCTTTCCTGTGTTTTTCTCTCACTGATCACCGGACTGTTGATACTCCTATGGAGCTTGGTGTTCACCTCAAACCCACTGACGGTGCACCACTTGCTAACCCCACTCGCTATTGTCAGCTTGTTGGGAGCCTTGTATACCTTGGGATCACCCGTCCTGATATTTCTCACTCTGTTCATATCTTGAGTCAGTTTGTCTCGGCTCCTACCTAGCTCCATTATGCTCACCTTCTCTATGTTCCGCGCTACCTTCGTGGAACTCTCTCTCGCCGCCTTTTCTTCCCTCGTTCTAGTTCTCTTCAGCTTCAGGCGTACTCTGATGCGACCTGGGCGAGTGATCACTATGATCGCTACTCTCTCTCTCTCTCTCTCTCTGAAAACCAAGAAGCAGACTGCAGTTTCCCGCTTGAGTGTTGAGGCTGAGCAGCGTGCTATGGCGATTGTGACTGCGGAGTTGACATGGCTACGATGGCTTCTTGAGGATTTTGGTGTGCCTGCCACTGCACCCACTCCTCTCTTTCTTCTGACAGCACCGGTGCGATCAGTATTGCTCGAGATCCGGTCAAGCATGAGCTCACCAAACACATTGGCGTTGATGCTTCCTACATGAGATGCAGGTGCATGATCAGGTTGTGACGCTTCACCATGTGCCTTCAGAAGTTCAGCTAGTGGATTTCATCACGAAGGCACAGACACGGGCCCATCATAGATTTAGATGTATAGGATGTATATATTGGGCTGGTAATACAATCTAGTTGGCCTCATTCTAACAAAGAACACCTAGCAAGGAACATCTATGTGGAAGCGAAGCAAATGCTCTTTTGTTCATTTTATTTTATTGAGAAACTGTGTTGCAATCATATATGCTTAGTTTAACCTTTGAGGATTAAGACTTGAATGATTGAAACCGTGTAAACTGATGAGGAGAACATGTGTTCTTGTACATGGTTGCATTCTTGTTTGTCTCTGTTGTTAACTTATGGATACCTATTCTGGAAAATGATTGTACTACTTACCATTGATGCCTTAAGATTTTGTTGTTAGTTTATAGGCAATAATTGTCATCAGTTGTACTTACCATTAAATCGAAGAGTTTATGAACGTTTTGCTGTTGAGTTCTTTTATGTGACTGAACAAATATCTTGTGCAGCTTCTTCCACGGGAGCGCAAAAAGCAAGAGTACCAGGATGCTTTAAAGGAGCGGTACAAGCATCTCCCAGAAGTGAAGCGGATTGTAAGGTAAGCTACTGTTGCCTCCTCTGGCATGCATGGGGAAATCGTACCTTTTTTTTTCACAGTCGCAGGTAGTTGATGAGGTAGCCTCTTACCATTTTGGTTTGCTAAATAATAAGTTCCATCATGCATGGCTTTGTTGTTAATTATTATTACAGGCATAGACACCTACCGAAGCCAATCTACAAGGCAGCCAACCTACGGCGCACCATGATCGAAGCTGAAAACCGTAAAGAGGAAAGAAGGCGAAAGCACAGTGCTCCGGGGAGCATGACTGTGCAGCCCTTCAGGAAGCGGAGAATCATCAAAGAAGTTGAGTAGCCATAAAGTTTGCATGGTCGTGGAGTTTGTGTTGTTGAGGTGGTGCTTAGATGAGAATGCATGTTTCCATTGAGAGTTGAGCTCCAGTTTTGCCCTTCCTACATATATGTGCTGTATCCATGACTTTGTTTTACTAGTTATATATATTTGAAATACCAAACCAAATATTCGTATCGAGCCATTGCGTTATAAGAGTCTGTAACCATGAGCAATCCGAATTGAAGAGGCACGGAGAGTGTAGCCAAATATTTGAAATACCAAACCAAATATTCTCAGGGAAACTGACGCTTGATTCAGTGAACTGGACTACTGTAGAGGCAAGGCATCATCTGGAACAGGAAAGATGGTCCGGGCCAGCAGAATATATGTGTGTAAATTGCTGGCGGTTGTTAACTGTATAAAGGCCCGTATACCAGTGGCCCATGAGGCTCTCTCTCTATATATATGGAATCAAAGCCATGGAAATGGATTAGGGTTTGGATTAGACTCATCTAATTCACCCACGATCTGTTTTTTGGATCCTTCCTCTGTTTCGCACGGTATGTCGTCGTGCTTCCTCTGATCCGCGTGGCCTGTCGTCACGCTGGTCTTTGCTCTAGTTCGTGCGGCCCGTCGTCGCACCGTTCTTCCTCTTCGTGCGGCCGTCGCCACACAGATTCTTCCTCTGCTCGCGGCCTGTCACCGCGCAGGTGCTATGTTCCGCACGCACGACGGAGCGGATGCGGTTCGCCTCCGCACGCGGACGTGCGCGGCCTTCACGCGCCCGCCATCCGCCGGGGTCGCCTCTGCCCGTCATCGCGGGATCTACCATTCGCCCGCGGGCCCTCGGCATCATCGCCCGACTCGGACTTCCGCGGCCGCCTCTTCATGCGCGACCTTTGCACCCGCGCGGCCTTCACGCGCTCGTCGCAGCCTTCACGCTGGACGCGCGGCCCTCTTCACGTGCGGACTTCCCGTTCGCGCACAGGTCTGCCTGTGTCGTCTGCTAATGCATGTCTTCCTCCACTGTCAGGAACAGAGGACTCCTGGGACTAGTGATCTTTGTTGCATCTTCCTCTGTGCTGGTGGTAACTCTTCCTTTTAGCATCCAGCAATGTCTCAAATTACGACAATTGTCATCAATATTACTCTTGATGGCCCGAATTATTTGGAATGGGCATTTTCTGTTGGTCCTGCATTGAGAGGTGTTGGTCTACTTTTTCACTTGATCCACCGACTCTCAAGCTTGATGGTAGTAATGCTACTGCAGTCAAAAGTTGGGAAATCAATGATGGGAAAGTAATGGCTGCTATGGTTAATAGCGTTAAGCAAACCATGATTATGAGTCTGCGTAAATTTAAGCAAGCCAAACCTACGTGGTCTTATTTGAAAGCACGCTATGTTCAAGAAAGTGGTGCTCTTCAACATACTCTCATGCAGCAACTTAATGTTATTAAACAGAGAGACATGTCCATTGATGCGTATTATTCTTCCTTTGATTGTTTGATGGGTTCTTTGATGTCCATGGTACCCCAGTGTATAGCAGGTCAGAACTGTACAACACTTTCCTTTATTGAGCAGTTTCTTACTTACAAAATTGTCACGGGAGTCAGGGCAGAGTTTGATTCTATTCGTACAAGATTGCTTCATACTTCCTCTACTCTGACCATGGCACATGCATTGTTTGCCTTACTTACTGAAGAGACACGTCTTCAGTCCTTGTCCCATGTGTCTCACCCTCACAGGAGAACCCGTGCATCCAAAGAACCTTGTAAGCATTGTGGCAGGACTAATCATAGTTCAGATACCTATTTTGCTAAGCATCTAGAGAAGTTGACTGAATTTCGTGCCCGTCGTGCTACTCGTGGTCATGGTACTTCTTCCATTTCTCGAGGTTCAGGGTCTGTTGGGTCAGTTTCTGTTGCTGCTTCCTCGACTGTCAATGCTTCTAGCCTCTATGTTCTAGACACCTTACATCTCCCTTCGTCTGTTGCATCGACGACTCATGTCTCATCCGCTGCATCGTCTTCAGCCTCCTCCTTTGCCAAGTGGCATCATCGTCTTGGTCATCTTTGTGGATCTCGTTTGTCCTCCATGATAAATAAAGCTTGTTTAGGTCATACATCTATTGAGTCTAGCTTTCATTGTAAGGGTTATAAACTTCAAACAAATACAACTTCCATATTCTTCTAGTGTTTTCCGTTCTGCTAGACCTTTTGATCTTATTTCATTCAGATGTATGGGGTCCTGCACCTTTTGCTACAAAGGATGGCCACAAATATTATGTCATTTTTATTAATGATTATTCTCGCTATACATGGATTTATTTTATGAAACATCGTTCGTAGTTGTGTTCTATTTATCAGTCTTTTGTTCAAATGGTTCGCACACAGTTTTCTACTCCCATTAAAATTATTCGTTCTGACTCTAAGGGTGAATATTTGTCTGCTGCTTTTCGCCAATTTTTGTCCTTCGAGGGTACCCTTGCACAGTTGTCTTGTCTAGGCGCTCCTGCCCAGAATGGTGTTGCTAAATGAAAATATCGCCATCTCATAGAGACAGCTCGCACCCTTTTGATTTCATCTTTTGTCCCTTCTCATTTTTGGGGTGAAATTGTTTCCACTGCCGTCTACCTTATCAATAGGCAGCCCTCATCCAAACTGTCAGACCAATGCCTTGGTGAAGTACTTTATGGTACTCTTCCTAGCTATGATCATCTTCGCGTTTTGGATGCACATGCTATGTTTTGCTTTGCCCCTCGTGTGCGCACTAAATTAACTACACAGTCTGTTGAGTGTATTTTTCTGGGGTATAGTCCTGAGCATAAAGGTTATCGATGCTATGACCCTTCTTCCCGTGCATACGCATCTCTCGTGATGTTAATTTTGTTGAGGACCGTCCTTTCTTTTATAACCCTTCTACAAGTCCTCCTATTCTCCCACAGAGTCCACCTCCTTGTGTCTTCCACCTCTTTCATCTAGCGATAATGCCTCCACAACTTTTGCTCCTATTTCCATCACACCACCTTTACCTCCGGCAACATCTCCACCTCCACCACCTCACTCTTTTTTCAAACCACCTATCACACATGTCTTCAGTCGTCGTCCTAAAAAACCCGACCAACTTCCCTCTAGTTCTACCACCTTGGCCAGTCCTGACGAGCCCGCTGTTAATTATTCTAATAATAGTATTGATGGGTCATCTATTGTTTCTGATAAGTTATAGGTTGGTCCACGGTATAATCTTCGAGACCGGACCACTGTTCGTCCTGCATGAAAGAATCAAGATGTCCAAGAGGGGGGGTGAATTGGGCTAATTCTAATTTTTTTCAATAATTAAGTCCTATACTTAGCCCACTTCACCCCTTGTGCTTAGAATATGTTTCTATTATTCTCCCACACAAAAGTTTTGCACCCTAGGTTTCAATCCTACTCTAACATGGCAATTCTAGCAATGTAAAGACATGAAATGAATTGCTCAAATATAAATGCTCAAAGTAAAGAGAGGGAAAGGAACATGACGATGTTTTCCGAGGTATCGGAGAGTCGCCACTCCCCACTAGTCCTCGTTGGAGCACCCGCGCAAGGGTGTAGCTCCCCCTTGATCTGTGCAAGGATCAAGTGCTCTTTATGGGTTGATTCTTTGACACTCCATCGCGGTGAATCGCCCACAACCGCTCACAACTTGACTTGGGTCATCCACAAGCTCCGTCGGATGATCACCAAGCTCCCAATCGCCACCGAGCCGTCTAGATGATGATGATCACCAAGAGTAACAAGCACAAACTCTCACTTGACCAAGACAAGCCTAATGAGAAGGGTGGATGCACACTTGCTACTCTCTATCCACTAATGAGGTTCTTAATCTTGGATTATCAAATCTCAATTACCTCACTAGGATCTTACTCTCCCTTACTCTCTTAAGGTGTTTCTCAGCTGAACAAATGGGCAAGAGACCTCCTATAGACGAGTGGAGTAAGTATTTATACCCCCTCATTCAAACATAACGTTTGGAGACTGAGTCACCACTCTGTGGGATGATCGGACGCCTCGTCAGGGGTGGATCGGACGCTCTGTCATGCTAAGATGGCTGTACCCACCACTGCTCCAGTGCTAATGAGAGAGAGAGGACTGTCATGATAAGCTCGACCGACTCGACTCATGTGAATAGTGCGTCGGTCTTTGAAGATCAACCGAACGCGTCCGGTCATAAGAAAAAAAATATTCGAAACTTTGCTTAAATTTGAGTCGATAAGTGGATGTAGGCACTCCGATGAAGTCCGTGCTCCTCCACTCGGTTGTCCGGTCGGTACCAACGATCGCATTTGATTGATCGGACTTCTTGCCAATGATATCTTGTCGATGGATAATTGTTTGCTATACAGATGCACACGACCGGACGCAGTCCGATCAAGAAAAAGCTCTCTCGAACCTCTCTAGAGTTGACCTGGATGTAGGCACCCCAAAAGTTGGTTTTAGCCTCTCCTCTCCTCCACTCGGCGTCGGCAAAGTTCTTCATGATAATGACAAAAGATGTAGATAATTCATGTATCTAGCTGCTATTAATTGATCAAATGAAATGACCGAACTCACCCTCCAGCGTCCGGTCACAACCAGACGTCAGTCATTTGACCCTCCATTCACTTCCAATTCGAAATCATATGTGAATGAAGATGACTCTAATTGATCTTAGGGCTATTTCTGAGCTATCTAGTGCCAGGTTTGACAAGTGCGCACCACACCTAACCCACTAGACTCACCTAGGTCAAGCTACCAGTCCATACCCCTTAATAGTACGGCCAAAGAAAAGACAAAGTCCTAAACTACGCTAAGTGTCTCTTTAACTCCAAATGACACTTAGAACTAGCCGTCCTTAACCTTGCGTCCATTCTTTAAAAAACAAAATGAATTCCATCGACAGGGGCATGGAAACCATAATTGTCCAACCAATTGCCATTACCATGACCTAACTTAAATTGCCTCTACAAAACACACGCTAGTCATAGTAATCTCGTGTCGTCATTAATCACCGAAACCCAACTAGGGGCCTAAATGCTTTCACTGCATACAAGTATGGTTTTCCTCATGTGAATGTTATTGTTGACGAGCCATCTACTTATCAGGAAGTTTCTCGTATTCCAGCATGGCAGCTAGCTATGTCTAAGGAACTTGCTGCCTTTGATCGTCAAGGCACTTGGGATCTTGTTCCATTGCCATCACACACGGTAGTATTACATCTAAGTGGGTATTCAAAGTTAAGACCAAGTCCGATGGCTCTATAGAGAGATACAAGGCCCGTCTTGTTGCTAGAGGTTTTCAGCAGACTCGTGGTCTAGATTATGATGAGACATTTGCACCTGTTGCTCATATGGCGACTGTTCGTACTTTACTTGCAGTGGCTTCTTCTTCTTCTTCTTGGCCTATATCTCAAATGGATGTCAAGAATGCTTTTTTCACGGTGATTTGACTGAAAAAGTTTATATGCAACCACCCCCAGGTGTTGTTGCTTCTCTTGGATATGTTTGTCGTCTTCGCCATGCTTTATATGGTCTTAAACATGCGCCTCGTGCTTGGCATGAGCGTTTTGTATCTGTGATATGGGCTGCTGTGTTTTCACCTAGTGATCATGATCCAGCTTTATTTGTCCATTTGCACCGCAAGGGCGTACTTTGCTTCTTTTATATGTTGATGATATGTTGATTACTGGCGATGACGAGGAGCACATTTCTCATGTGAACAACAGCTTAGTGCTGAATTTCAGATGTTCAATTTGGGTCCGCTCAGTTATTCCTTACGCATTGAGGTCAGGCAATGTACCACAGTTATTGTCTTTGGCAGCCGACGGTGTCCGTGGAGGGCAGGACAGCTAGGGTTGCAGCCGAAGTAGTGAGTGCTCCACGCGGCCGGCCGCTCGTTCGTGTAGATGCGTATGAACTAGGCCATCGATCTCAGAGTTATGTCACCGTCGCCTCGACCACCATGGGATGCATGTTACAGTCGCCTCGCCAGCCTTTGGATTGTGTTCGTTTCGATTGAGCCACAGCGACTTCTATGTTTTTTTTTGTCATCACAAAGGAGAATGGCAAGGAGAGAAAAGGATGGTCGCCGATGCGATGGCCCATCCGTTGCGTGGCCCACCGAGCCCGCCCTCCCCTCCCCTCCCCTCCCCGTCTGCTATAATAATAAATGGGCCACGCCGGCCAGTAGGATTGGCGGCACACGCACACGCAGACACAGCACACCACCACCAACCACCTCCTCCCTCCTCAGAATCCCTCATCAGATCGATCACCGCACCTGGCTATGGGCGACGCCGCTCCGCAGACGACGACCCTGGTGTTCACGTACGGGACGCTGAAGCGCGGGTTCTCCAACCACCGCCTCCTGGAGGAGCTCTCCGCGAGCGGGGACGCCACGCTGGTGGGCCCCGCGGTGACGTCGGTGCGGCTGCCGCTGGTGTGCGGTCCCTACCGGGTGCCGTTCCTGCTGAACCTCCCGGCGGCAGCTGGCGGGGCCGCGCACCGCGTGCGCGGGGAGGCGTACGCGGTGACGGCCCGCGGGCTGGCGCGGCTGGACGAGCTGGAAGGCGTGGCCACGGGGCACTACGAGCGCCTGCCGGTGGAAGTCGAGGTCAAGGTCGAGGGGGGCGCGGAGGGGAGAAGCAGGGTGGTGGAGGCGATCGCCTACTTCGCGCACCGGAGCTACGCCGGCGACCTGTGGCGGCGCAGCGGGGAGGAGGGCGTCCCCGAGTACACCCACGGCGTGGCGGCTGGGTATGTCCGGCGCAAGGACCGGCCGCAGGGGCAGACGTTCCTGGAGCAGATCCGGGTCTTCGTCTCCTCCCAATCATCCTAGCTGCTTGCGGTGTCCTTAAGGCTCCTCCTCCTCCTCCTCCTAGTTTCGTGCGGATGGCCGGATCATTTGATTTTGATTTGTTTTTGCTTGTCCTTGTCCATGTTTTTGGTTTTTGGATGGATCATATCGATGTGTGATCAACACGAGGAGGGAGCAGATGACATCGATGTGTGTGATGTGATCTGTACGGGACGGGAGAAATCATGTGGTCTGTGTGTTTCACCGTCACCATCATCTCCCTTCCTTAATTGTTGGTTGCATTGCAAGCTCACCTCGCCCGTCCATGGCCATGGCGTATCGTATCACCACACGACGGCATGCCGACCTACCCACTTTCCTCGCCGAGGCTTGCTGCTTCGATGATTGATACTACGGTATCATCGTCTTAGCGACTTGTACGTTGCTTTTTCAGAACCGCATTGGATTTGGATCTTTCGCGCCGGAAACGTCCCAGATGGCCCTGTTCGGCTTATAACCCACGCTATTTAGCTTATTTTTTCAACTGGAAATAGTGTTTTTCTCTCTCGCAACAATTCAGTCAGAACAGTGTTTTCAGCCAATTCAACCAAGTTTTAGTAAGCCGAACAGGACCATTAATGTCTCACGCACATCCACAGACAGATCATTATTTCTATCGTTCAGCATGTTCAGCCTATCCTGGAGCAGATCCGAAAAATCTCCTCCCAGTCATTATTGTGAGAGGTCCTTAATCTCTCCTCCTTGTTTCGGCGGATGTGAATCAGTGATTTTGATTTGTGGTGGCGTCAGTCCACCACCACCAGTTTTTTTTGCTTTTTCGTTTTATTGGTTTCGGTCGGTAGCTTATCAAAAAATTATTAAACCAACACCAAATTAGGACTTATCAACCCGAAATCAACCATGAATAACACATTTCGTGTACCTATTAGTCACGATGAAAAAATATTACATGTTGTAAAAACATTTTCTCCTTACAAATATAGGGATATATACCCAAGAAAATCATTTATCAGAGCAGATCTAGTATTGTGATTGCAAAATATGCTCGTAGAGTAGAGATAGAATATGTGTGCATGCTTTAATAAAAATGGATGTGTGTGCATGTACATGAGGGCTCACGTTTGTATTATGTTTCGCACCAAACAAACAAACAAACCATAAGCACCCAAGGAACGTTGACATGTGCTCACACAACGACCTAAAATGGATACTCAAAAGCTTATAGAAATTAAATTAGGACGACTCAAGGCCTATGCTTCCATCACTCTATTTAATATAAACTAACAATAAAGGGGGAATGACTTTCTTTTCTACTCCTATTTACTATATATTAGACTAACAGGACAGGAACAAAAGGAGAATTTGCCTTTTGCAAGATCCTTGCTCAAAGGGAAGGATATATAAATGGAATCTGTTGCTATGGACCCTTCTATTGCCCAATGGCCGACAAACTAGACGCCAAATGTCAGCCTCCCAATTTACTAACCAATACGTACGTATGAAGTTTTCAATACGCATTTATACTTCCTGATACGAAATTGCCAACGAAAGCAAGCAACAGAGTAAACGGCACTAACATTTAATACTGACGAATCTGGCGTGGCAACGTTCGGAGTTTCTTTCGGTCATACGTCATGCTTCTTGCAACTTGGCCAGAAATTTGGCCGGAATCTTGAATAACTCTCCGCTCAATTCCAGTGGCTCACGAGAAAACAAACAATTCCAAAAACACGCGCATCATTTGGTCAGCTTTCTCAGGCTTGTGGCTGAATCTTTGACAAGCCAGCACGAAAACAACCAAGGCCGTGTTTAGTTGGCCGCCGGATTCCCCGGGGCTACTGTAGACAGTAGTTTGCTGAACTTTCTTCTTGCCAATAATTGTCCGATCGTTGGACGTCTGGCCAAACGCATGTGTCTCGTAAAAATCTCGTGGTTACTGTGTAATTAATTTTGATTTCATCAACATTTAGTCTTTCTGGTTATATCACCACAAATTTAATATGACGGAAAATCTTCTTTTTACGTAATGTCGAATCGGGGGAACTAAACAAGGCCCAAAAGATAATCCGGTTATCATGGCCATACGTCAGAACACAGTTTGTGAACAATTTTCTGTCTCGGCACTACCAGCGTCTGGACGACGTCTGGACAGACGTACGTGTCCGGACGCCCGTGGTTACGGTCTGTTTCTGCACCTGACGCAAGGTCTGCTGCTCTAAAAAACTGCGCCCTCACTTTGCGCCACTATCTGCCGCACCCCCTCCGCTTTCCTCCCGCGCCCCCTCCGCATGCCGCGCGGGGACTACCTGTGCCCCTGCCGCCACCGGCCTTCGCTTTACGCACCCGCTACCGAGCAACGCTCCATCCCAGCGCACCAGATGAACACTTGCAAGTTCGTAAGAAACTCCTGTAACAAGCGCCTGAAATATTTGTAACATTCGTATGAAACAAATAAAACACTTGCAACAAATATCTAAAACACTTGCAAAGATATGCAGCATCCAGATAAAATAGTTGCAACATGCATGTGAAACATATACAACATCCAGATGGAACACTTGAAATGAACGTCTGAACAAAAGTCAAAAATAGATAAAACATTTGGAACATACACTTGAAACAGACGTGTATAGCCATTGCAACACGGGCAACACCATGATCTACTTTTACAACATCAAGGTAAAACACTTGCAACATCTAGATGAAACATCTGAAACACTTAAAACATAAGCTTGTAATATACGCTGACGCAATGTCACCTTGCTGCTTGGACGATGTGCTCGAGCAGCGTGGGCACACCAGCGAAGGAGAGCGTCGCTATGGCCAGGAGCTTCCACACGTCGAGGTCGAGGTCCCCGCTAGGGAGGTCCGCGTTGATGAGCGCCTGAAGGAGGTCGTCGTTGTCGTCCCTCGCGCCGCCGAAGGCGTCCGACTCGTCAACCACACTGGCGCCGCGAGGTTCTCGGAGGAGTGGGCGCGACATGGTAGCAGATGCGGAGTGGAGAAGGATGGGGCACCAGGCAAAGTGGGGCAAGCGCCCGATGCATTGAAACCGCAGCAAGCGAAGCGAGTGGAGATTAGAGACGAAGGAGAAAGGATAGAGATGAAGGAGAAACGGATAGAGGGAAGCAGGCTAATTGTTATTAGGCCCGATTCGCTGTGCAGGCCCAAAAACAGGGCACGCCAGGATGCACACGCCCCGGATGAATCAACCTTGACAAGAGCATCTTCATCGTCATCACAGTTTAAACATTCGCTTCGGTTTCATTTACCGCACGCACAGGACAGTCTGAATTTTCCTTCCAAGATACAAGCAACCTAAAAAAACGGGCGTACTCAGTGCAAAGAACCCCCGCTTTGTGCGGAGTCTAAGGAAAGGTGTCGGTGACAAACCTTATCCTCGCCTGTGCAATGCGAGAAGACCGCAACTCAAACCCGGAACCTTCCGGTCACAGACGGTAAGACTCTACCGCTTGCACCAGGCCCGCCTTTACAAGCAACCTGAATGTATATAATTGTACGCTTCACCGTTGTGAAGTATTAACAAATAAAAATATCTTCATGTGGACAGAGTCTCACAACAATGTCAAAATACAAACGCATAATAAGAATCCTCTACTATCCTCTAGCTGTAGCTGTGCAAGAATTGATTTGAACTGTCGGTGATGCACCAGAAGGGATATATTCTGGTGCCCGCAGGAAAAATTTGCTGCTGGCCTCGCCTTCTCAAAGGATTCTGTCCAGGTCGCTGATGAAATTGGAGGCCAAAGATGTCAACTTCTTTCCAGTCTCCCCAGCTATGTCCTTGAGTGAAGACAGATCATGTGAAGCCTACAAAACCATGGCAGCAAATGAGACTGTTAACTTTATGCAACTTTCACATGACATGAAGTCTCTGCAAGATATTGGTTTCCTTAAGCTGCCTCCAACAGGAGATCCATTGTGGAACCCAAACCCAAAATAGATCTCCAACACAATACCTATGGCCTTCAATAGAGTTCCTACATGGAAGACCCATTTTGAATGCCGGAGAGAGGCATAACCCAAATCTGAGTATCCTCTCTCCTGGAGATCCATTTGCAGAAAGGGTTGTCTTTAGAGTCTTGTTATTGGAGAAGACCAAAAATGAGGTATCGAACCCTTTGCCTGTAGCGCTACCCAAAAGACGAATGTGTCTTATATTTTGGGTCGCGGTTGTTGGAGACAGTTTTAGCCCAATACCACTAACTAATACATGAACTATCAACTTCAGTTGCGGCTTAGAAACGTATGCAAACTAAGGTGCTAGAAGCTAAACATGAAACCATCCAAGAAACAACAGATTGTGCCAAAAATTTACAAAAGGCTACCTGGAAAGATATTCTGTTGATGAGATCAGCAGCACTTAGGTCCAGGTTAGAATTGTCCACATTATTACGACCAAAAAGATCAGCGCTTGAAATGGATGAAGAACCCTGGTCAAAACAGATGAAATTTAAGAAGAAAGAAAACTTCTGAAAATGGATTATTCAAGTACTGCATGCCCCTAGACTACTTTTTTTTTTTGCAAAATTTAAACAATAGATTTTCCAAGCAAGTAATTCAGTTTGAACTGAGACTAAAAATCATTGTGATGCAAGACCCACCACGAATTTCTGAAGGGATAGCTGAGCCTCTTTCTCTTCTCTGTTTTGAGTACCAAAAAACTGAGATGATGAAATTGCCTTAGCATTAGAGAATTTTTTCCTCGCTTCGTCAGTTTCCTCAATCTATAAAGAAAAACATCTAGAGTCAGAACTCATAACAAAGTAACAGGAAATCTGTCCGGTGAAAAATATTTCAGCATAATTGTGCAATATTTACCTTTCTAGAGTTCAAAAAATGATGTCAATTTACAAAAAGCACTAACCATAACCACAGCGGACTGCTCGTTGCATGATAAAAAAACAACTAGACATGACATGAGAGCTTAAAGATATTTTTCAGGCCATAGCATCACAAACATGTACAGTGCATCCAGTGTTTTGCAATATCCCAATGACATAAACTACCTAGGGATCAGGGAGCAAATTGAAAATCATAACTTCACCTCGAACAAGCTCCACTATTAATCACAGAAGTATATGTCAACAAAACAATTTGTAGGAAATCAATATAATCACAGAAAAAAATGGTCACAACTCACAAACGTTTGCATAGAGGCTAAGTTTCTAATGTTAGAAAATACTAGAGACCACAATAGTTTGATTTAACTGGGGAAACTTGCACATAAACTGAGCATTATGGATCATCATGTCACCATCACCACAGTTTTTACCTGAGCTTTTGAAGCATTGTTAGATTTCTTTTGGAACCCATTACCCATCCCATACTCTTGAAAGAAATCTGATGATTTGGGTGGAGCTACATGGCCAGTCACACGAGATCCAGATCCGCCAGTTCTCAAATCAGCTGATGGCTCGTTCTCCACGTATTCAAAACGTGAATGCAAGGATGGACCACCTTTTGTTGTTGTTGAAGCAGCCAAGGCAGGTACAGCAGGTTTTGGCTCTTCTGGTTTCTGCTCATACAGGCTTTCATTTGGCTGCAGTACAATTTGAAAAAAAGGTCAGGGGTTAGTTCAAATTGAAAATCATATATTTCTGTGACAGCATGGGAAGCACAAATTAGCCCTTTTGATGTGCAAAACATTACCTTTGTAGTAAGCTTTCGAACACCAAGCCCTCCAGTCTTGGCTCCAACCTTCTTTGCGCCAATGGGCTTCTTTACGGAAGTGGCAAAGGTGGGATGAGTAGCGGCTTTTGGTGAACGCGGAGCGGCTTTGGGGGACTTGGGCTCGTGCTTCCCATTCAGATTCTCTGTCAGTGGTGCTGGTGCATCTGGGAGCTTGAATTCAGGGAAGTCATCGGATGGCTTGGAAGCCTCAGATGCGACAGGTGAGGATGGCAGAGCATTATCAGTCGTGGCACTCTTAGCGACCTCCTTGTTAAGCATCTGCCTGTACAGTTCAGCAGCTCTTGATGTGTACTTTGCCTCAACCTTTCCACCATCGGTGGTCCATCCATGCTGCTTGAAGAAAGCATGTGCCCGGTTGTTGCCTCCGAAAGCCATCATCTTCAGCTGGTCTGGAGTCCATGAGTCAAGGTTCGTTGACCTGCGAAAGACACAGATAAGGTTTTATATGAAATTGACACGGCATCACTGGTGGAGACAATGCTGCGCTCTAAGTCCGTATGAGGGAGTAGGGAAATTTTGTGCTAGTAAGAAGAGGGCGGAAAAATAAATGCAGCAAAAAGAACTCTATCTCAGTACGTATGGGGGAGAAGGCAAATTTTGTGCTAGTAAGAAGAGGGTGGAAAATTTAATGCAGAAAAAAAAGAAACAGAAAAGTAGTCCACTAGTTGGAGGGCAGGGCACATAAATTACAAAAAAAAAAAATGAGCAGCATCTGTGATCATCATGTAGTGGGGCCATGGGGCTTATATCATGTAATGTGCCTAGCACATTGGTGCGAAAATAGCATGGGGTTCATGTGGCACTTTTTAGTTTGCTCCTAGAGTCCAAGGTTAGATGTGGGAGGCCGAGTTCCAAGGGGGTATGAAAAAATAGCACGTGGTATATGTGCCACTACTATTATTAGTTTCGTACTCATTGTGTCGGCAGGCAGCAGGGCGTGGTACGGGAGCTCTAAACCAGGCATTTCATGAGGGTCATGATGCTGGCTGCCTTAAACAAAATAGGCTAAAGGTATCAGGAGCATAATCTGCATTGCAACCCTATCCGGTAGGGTATCCCCTATTCCAAAATCCAAATGTGATCGGGAGGCCTCTCAGATCCAGGCACAGGCTACGCTACGATGGTGGGTATTTGGTTGTTGATGAAAGAAAAGCTACACTGGCATCGAGCATACTACTAATCGGCTGGAAATTCTATCCTAGCGCCGCGTCATGATTGAGCCATGGGCAAGCGCGGGGCGAGATCTGGAGCGGAAGCAACGAGATCTGAGTGATTGTGCAAGTGGGGAGGGGGGAGTAGTGGTACGTACCTGACGAAGGTGATGTGGACTCCGAGGCTGCGGTGGACGGCGGAGCAGTCGAGGCAGAGAAAGATGCCGTAGGTGACGGAGGCCCAGGTGGGGTTCCTGGCGTTGCAGTCGAAGCACATCTGTATGAGGGGAGTTGGCATGGTGAGATGTGATCTGAGTACCCGTCGGAGCAGGACGCCCTAGATCCAAGGCAGGGCAATACGCACCTTGTTCTCGGGCTTGGCCTTGAGGCGGCGGAAGACGGCGTTCTTGTCGGTGTAGGCATCGAAGGCCGTCGCCATGGCTGGTTGCCGGCGGCAAAGCGCGGGGCGGATCCGATCCGATGCTCGGGTTTGTTTGGGCAGAGATCTGGGGCGGGCGGTGAGCTGACGGGGAGAGCGGGAAGGCAGGCGATGGTTGGTGTGGAGGAACTAACCAACCACCGGAGGCGGAGTATATAGGAGGCAGGCAGCGAAACGAGTTGGGCTTCTCGGCTGTCGGCTACTCGGCTTGCTTTCTTGGGTTCCTGACTCCTGACTGCTTGAGCCTGATGCTTCAGTTCTCCCCGCGTCTACCGCGTATCCTTCCTCGGTCAGACTCAACAAGACTAGTAGTATAGTACTAGTAGTAAAGAAATGAGTACGAGTATGAGAAACGAATACTCAATGTCCAGATTTAATTAAATACGGTATGAATACTAATAAAATCCTTAATAAGTTGAGATATCGGAAAATACCCGTGCCACCTCAATCAATGACGGCTAATGCTATGGTGCGGGCGTCCGTCCGTCACCACCGCCTCCCAAATTAAAAAAAAAAATCTCACTCGACCTCCCAAATAAAAAAAAATCTCCCACTCGGCCTCGCGCTCGCCAGTGCAGCTCCGCTTCCTCCGCCCTGTGGCCCTCGTCCGCCTGAGTCACGCCTCTCGCCCACCCCTGCCCTAGCGTCGGCGTCCTCCTCATCACCTCCTCCTGCAGCTGGAGATGGCGAGGGCGTCATGGTCGTGCCATACTCCACACCGCCTCGAGGCTCCTTACGCCCCGATGCCCCAGCGGAAGAAGCTCGCGGGGAGGGAGGGGCAAGTGTGTGGTGATCTTCGCTCCGCCGCCTCCTAGCCCGGATCTGCCATCGAGGTGGTTATTGAGTTCCTCAACGCGCCTGACATGGTAGTCGCCGCCCACTAATGTGGCGCGCTTGACATATTGCAAACTATGTTTCAAGTGTTTCAGATGTGTGTTGCAAGTGTTTCACGTGGATGTTGCAAAAGTAAGTCGGGATGTTTGCATATGTTGTAAGTGTTTCAGAGGCATGTTGCAAGCGTTTGTTCAAAATGTTTCATATGTTTTCAGAGTGTATGTTTGAAAGCATTTTTTATTTAGATGTTGCATATGTTTTACACATGCTGCAAGAGTACGCTCCATGATTTTAGCCGTTCCAGTATTATGTTGTAGTATTTGTTTTTATGTTGCAAGTTGCAAGTGTTTTTATCTCGATGTTGCATATGTTCTACACATATATTTTCGAAGTGTATGTTCTAAATATTTCATCTTGCTTCAAACGTATGTTGCATTTAAGTGTTTCATGTTGCAAGTGTTTTATGTTTCAGATGTGTATTCAGAGAGTCATGAGGGCAGGGCCTGCATGCCGAGGGATGGGACGCATGGCGCACCTAGGTCCTACGAACGAGGATGTGCTCGTCCTCACCTGACTCCTGGGTCCCGCTTACGCGGAAAGAGGAGCGGGGTCACTAAGAAGGAGCCACGGGCGTAGCGACAGGGGTGGGTGCGCGTGCGGGACGAGACGAGGCGGACAGGGGCGGGCTGCGGAAAGTCGAGGCGTTAACCACGCCCATCAATAAGCTTGATTGTTTTGCTTCTTGGATCCTCTTCTCCTGGTCCAGTGGTCCTGGGAGAGAGTGGGAGGTAGGCAGGCATCTCAACCGCCGTCCCTACACCTTACTACACAACTCTACCAAACTGATGTACCAGTAATAGGACGCGACACGCGCGTCTGCAGGCTGCACAGCTCGCCTCGGCGGAACATGGGACATGGCTGTGGCTGTGGCTGTGCTGTGCGGCCTAAACCAACCATCGCTAACAAACAAACGCCACGCACCAGCACCGCCAAACATTTCATATCAGATCACATTGCAGCTCACCGACACACGAATACTCCTAGTATGGATATTGTTTCAGCGGCGTTCAAGTAAAATTTCAGCCAACACAAACGCGCGCAAAAATCACTTGGATCTTGCACAAATAGCCCAAACGAAGGTACAAATACAACCTCATTATCTGTTCCAGATCCCTCAAAACTCCACCAATCCCTCCAGCTAGCTAGTGAGACTGACGACACATCACACGCCGACTGACCTCCCCTCCACCGCACCCTTGCTAATCGTTCCACACTGACACTGGACAACGAACGAACCCCCCACCCAGCATCTCCTACTAACACGATCGTCTGCCGCCTCCATTCCAACACGAGCCGTTGCCAATAAAATTGGAGACCCAGCTGCTGCCAACATGCCAATGCCGTTGCCATCACAGGCAGGCAGCTTCTCAGTCATACTAATACATCGCTACTCAGGTCAGGCATCCCCGGACGCCTCCTTCTGCAGTGTCTTCCTCATGAAATCCGAGATCTTCGAGGACGCCGCGACACCTCTCTCTATGCAGTTGAAATAGTCGTCCTCTGATCATCATCGCGCAGCAAGATAGGGAGACAGACAGACAGACAGAGCAGAGCAGCATTTGTCAGTGTGGCGAGTCATGCATCTCCAACGGTGCCCACAAGGAAGATGCAGGATGTAGAACCGTACCAGACATCGCTCCGTGCGTGATGCAAGATATCAATCCTCGCTCAGACTCCTCATCTTTCTGCATCGGGTCCTTCGAATCGACCGACTTGCGTGAGTTAGGAAACACCAGGTGAGCAAAGGACTTCGCTTGCTGCAGGTTGTTGCACACGCAAATCGTCAGTTCCATATGCTACCAAAAAATATTGCAAGGAGAACTTTGGTTCCACATTCTTACTTTTGAGTATATGCACTGAAAGAACATGCATGCTACCAATATTTACAAATAGCTCAACAAGAATTCAACACAAAAACAACATATGGTTGGTGTTCAGGAATCAGAGGCGTAGCATACCACCAGGAATCTCAAAAGATTCAACAAGAATTCAACACAAAAACACATTCTGGGTAGGAAACGGGAGCATCATAATCTTTTGATTTTTATTCAGTGTATGTAGTTAAAAAAAGAAAACAATCTCTGGAAAAATTTGTTTCGATCTAGATCTGCTGAGGGAATATCAACACTCTTTTGCTACTATTGTTACCATTCCTAATACCTCCTTTTGTTTCCCTCTTACCCTTGTTTTCTGTGTGTTGGGTCTCATGATTTCATCTCTAGCATGCCCCAACTTCCTTGGGATTAAAAATCTTTGTTATGGTTGCTGCTGCTAGAGCTACGGTACTGAAGAAGCATGCTCTGACTTAGAGCTGTAGCAGATATAAGAGCCAATGGTGAGGAGACCTGTCCCTAGGACTTATCGAACTTTATTCAACGCAACAAATCATAAAGAAAATAGCATATTGCTGCAGGAGCTCAGGAGTTTTCGAATAGCACAGTGATCAAGCAGAGGACAGTAAATGCATACTGGACAGGAAATGGTCCAAATGGAACCATCAACTATTTCGACTTTTCTATAGTTGATTTAGAAAAAATGAACAATTTTCAACCTGCTCTTCTGCTGTGCTAGTGTCTAAGATAACCGCACCATTGTCCATCACCCCACAGCCAATCGCGACTGCAGCAAATAGAAGCTTGTGACTTGTTAGCTACAAAGTCTGAAGGGATGAGGATGACACACAAAAATATACTAAACTTACCAGCAAGATGTTTCATAGGAATTCCAGCAAATGCAAGGGCAGCACAGGAAGCATTAATTGCACATGGCAGAAGCTAAGCACTGTCAAGGAAACAAGGACTAACTTCGATTGAAATAAAGAAGCTACTCATATTTTGAGTTTAAAGGTCTTGGAATGCACATGATGTTTTGGCAACAAACATCATTTCGAGGAAGGGATATAGGTATCATACAAAAATTCAACTCCCTCTAATTCCACACCTAGTTGATGTTAGCCATTTGCTCAAGCCGTCATGCATTATTCCCTATAAGTTACTACCTAAATGATCCTACCAATTTTATCCAAAAATCAATGGATCGACCTAACAGTCAGTAGCCTAAAAATTGAAGTTTTTAACTGGAATGCAGGCTAACAGATGCAATAAGCATAAAGCAGACAAACTATATTACTGCTACATCATGTGGAAAGATACAGAGCCATCGTCACCCACAACCTGCAGAAACAAGATTAACGATGGGTAAGTGGCATTTAGTGGCATGAGCATGAACATCCATAGCCAACATAAGAGCATGTACAATGGGTGTGCTTAGAGGAGATGATTAGCCAAAAAACTTTTGGAAGTGAACATCCTAGTAATTATGTGTACCTTCCCTCAGCATTGTAAGTTGATCATTAGTTCACACAAGCACATCAAGTTTGCACCTTGGGGATTCACTAAGAAAGCTAGTTATATTAAGGTTTAAATAAGGGAACTGAGAGGTGCATTATTGCATTTTTACTTTGTTTATGACATTTACAGTGTGATTGATATAATTAACTCTAACAATACTAAAAAAAACGTTCACTAATTTTCCATCGGAAAAGTAGTACTACATACGATTTATTACTATATAATGCACCTAGCTACATTGTATATCAAACACAACAAACAGCAATGGTGGAACTGTATACAGAACAACAGAAGCAAATTAAGAGTAGCATGGCAGCTGCCAGAAGGGCGACATTACCTGAAGCACAACAGAGGTGGTGGTGTTAGGATGAACTGTGAGCAAGCAGATGCTCTGCAACGTCCTCCTGAGTGTCATCTCATACTCCCTCTCTTGCCTTCCTGCAAAAACAACTCGCCATTTCAGTGACCACGCGGTTACTCGAGGGACAAGTGACATTGCAAGCACGAACTAAACACCCTCTTGATCGCCACCAATGCACACGCAGCCGCGGGGCGAAGTGAACTCGAGAGGAAGAGCGGGGTACCGTACCGATCTGGCCGGTCTTGGGCTTCCACACGACCTCGATGGAGGCCTTCTCGGGGTTCTCCCCCTTCCTGGTCCCCTGCTTGGGCCCGTACACGGCGGCCAGCACGACGGTGTCGCCCTGCGCCCACCGCGCGGAACCGTGGGCGCGGTGGAGCGGGTTCCCGGTGCAGGAGAACGGCCGGAGCTGGTTCGGGTTCCGCCCGTCCGCGCGGCTACCTCCCTCCATTATCCCCTCCCACTCCGCTCCGGTCGTCCACGGCGGCGGTGGCGGCGGCGCAGAGAGCGCTAGAACCCTAACCCCTCGTCCCCTGTCGCGACTCGCTCAGGAACAGGAAGAAGAGTAAGCCTAGCCTCGGACCTCGGTGGCCGTTGTACAGAGCACGGACTAATCCTAGCCGTTGGTGCTCCATCGGACGGCTGGGAATTACTGAGGTGTCTATTCCGAGCCGCCCAGCGAGGAGGAGGACAAGTCCTTTCCCCTTTTGCCCCCTTCTTCATTCACGAGACCCCGCCGCAACCCGCAACCGCAATCGAATCGGGAGGCCCGCCGCCGCCGCCGATGGCGAAGAAGCACAGGGACCCAGCCGCCGAGGCGGCGAGCGGCGACTCCCCGGCCGATGCCATCCGCTCCCTCTTCTCCGCGGACAACCCGTTCCGCCGGAAGGCCTCTACGGAGGAGCCCGCCGCGACTCCTGCCCCTGCCCCCGCCGCGACGCTCCTCCGCAAGCAGCCCAGCCCTGGCGCCGAGGCTGCCGACCCGTCCTCGAAGAAGAAGAAGAGCAAGGAGGAAGGCCCGTGGCCCAAGCGGAAGCGGGACGAGCTCGAGGCCGGCCGCGAGCGGCGGCGAGGCGCGGGCACGGAGAAGCCGCCGAGAGTGGGGGAGAAGAGGAAGGCCCCCGACGACGCCGCGGCAGGGGCCGAGGAGGAGGAAGAGGAGTTCGACGACGAGAGCAAGCTGCTCAGGACCGTGTTCGTGGGTAACCTGCCGCTGCGGACCAAGCGCAAGGTGCTCACCAAGGAGTTCGCGGCGTTCGGCGAGATCGAGTCCGTCAGGATCCGTTCTGTGCCGCTGGTCGACGTCAGTACAGTGCCATTTCCATCGCCTTCTTCTTTGTTTGGGTTGGGGTGGAAAGGTTTCTCATTCGTTTGGTGTCGTGCTTCCTGCAGACCAAGCTTTCGAGGAGAGGGGCCGTTTTACAGGGGAAGGTCAATGAATTGGTCGATAAGTGAGTGCTCATTTGCATCTGGATCATTGTTGTTCTTCATCTAGTTAGTTATGTACTTGCATTGTTCATTCTGTTGCCGGAATCTATATATAGCCTAGTATATGCAGTGAAACAGTGATTTAAAGCACATAGCATTTAACAGCTTTAGGTTAAGGTATGCCCAAATTACTGCGTGATTTAAGCTTAGTGGTTCTCCATATTCATATTTGCTTGTATTCTTTGCAGTGTGCATGCCTACATTGTTTCAAAGATGAGCAGTCTGCACGCGCCGCTTTGTCTCATAATATGGCACTGGTAAGGTTGACTGTTATACAGCTCAAAACATGATTAGTTCATTAACTGATAGTTTACAAATTTATGTGCCTTGATTGATATATCTTTTTGTTCTTTTTGAATCTTGTAACCTTTTAGTTCGGTGGCAATCACATTCGTGTTGATATGGCATGCCCCCCTCGTAAGAAACTTGGAGGAGATGGGCCTCTTTATGACAGAAAGAGAACTGTGTTTGTTGGGAACCTTCCATTTGATGTAAAGGTGAGCAATTTGTCCATTCTTATACTATGGTTTCTTTAGTTTCTAAGAAAAATTAAAACAGTATTTCGTTTTTGCCTACATTAACCTAGACTTACTTTGTGACATGTTAGGATGAAGAGATCTACCAGGTGTTCTGCAGTTCCAGTGGATCAGAAGGTAATGTTGAGGCTATACGTGTTATCAGAGATCCAAGTTCAAGCCTAGGGAAGGGTATCGCGTATGTTTTATTCAAAACAAGGGTAAACTTCGTATCTCACTCTTTTGTTTGGATTACTGTGGCCCATTTGATCAGCCAACCACTCTATGCAATGTACATGAACTGTCGATTAGCATACTTCTTTGTATGCTATGCAATCTTGCAAATCATTTCTGGAAAGTTGTAGTGTTAGTAACAATGTCATCTCCTCATGACCCCTTCTTGAATTATACTAGTGGTATTTAAAAAGGAAAGTACAATAGCAAGGCTTCCTTTCTGAACTATATATCGGCGCTAAAATATCAATTATAAACATGGATCTTAAATTTTGAAACCGCCTTTTTTACTCCTGGCTTCTATGCAAACAAAGCTTTCCTTGGATCATCCATGCTGCAGCTTGCAACACTGGGCATGGTTTGTCTTCACTTGGGACAGCTCGCTTGTTAAATAATTTCTTCTCTTATTTTAGCTACTAGAAAACTGATTTCATTTTTTTGGTTAACAATCCGATTAATATACAATATTTACACCTAAATAACTCCCTAACTGTCCTGATAAGAAGTATGTTTTGAATAACTCTTTCAGATACATTATTATCTGCAAATATGATCGGTTGCAAGAACCTTTGACATTGTGATATATGCTATGCAGGAAGCTGCTAATTCTATTGCAAGAAAACGGGATATGAAGATAAGAGATCGCCTGTTGAGGCTCACTCATGCAAAACCGGTGGACACGACACCAAAGAAAACGGAAGTCCAGAAAAGGAGTCGTGTACCAAAACACAAGGAGGTTTCGACACCAGGCAGCAAATCTAATGAAGGCAGTGAGAAAGCCAAACGAAAGGCATCAGCTTTGTCGTATCAAGGCCTGAGATCAAGCAAATCTGGTGTTGTGAAGAAGGTGAAAGTGAACCAGCAGCCCAGCAACAAAGGGAAGCAGAGCAAAACTAATGAAACTGGAGCGAGTGCTCTCAAAGCTAAGCGACCCGCTGTGGCTGCAAGAAAAGCGAAGCAACTAGCCAAGAAACGCAAGGTGGATGCCTCAACTCCTGAGAATGCACACAGGAGCAAGAAAGCAAGGAAGTAGTTATCTATTGCGTTGGTTGTTTGCCCTTGCCACGTTGTAACAGGAGTTTCCCTGAATCGAGTTTTGGACAAGCTTGTCACCTGGTCAGATGGTCTTGTTACTGCGTAGAGGCAATGTGCGGCCTTAAGTGAGGTTAGGGCAATATACAAGAGCGATGCTGCAAATGTATGGCTGATAGATTATTAGTTCAATGTAACAATCCGGTACTCTGCACTTTAAACACTTTGTAACCTTAATTGGCATTAGTTTTGATCTTTTTACTATTTTCCTCCACAAACATTTGCTTTCCACTTCCTCCGTCCCAAAGTTTGTATCGTATCTTTCACAAGGTTATAGAAAAAGAATATGAATATTTACAATTACAAATGAGCATCATTAGGTCTATTTTGATATTTCCTCTTTTGATTGTGGTATATGTGGTGGAGTAGATGTCGACGCCCTTAAACTCAAAAACTTCTTGTATTATGGGTCCGAGGGAGCAACTTAACTACGGTGCCAGACTCGGTGCCTCGTCACTGTCAATCAGGACTTAGGAACAGTACATGTTATCTTGCACAACGATTGAACATCGTGTTGGTGCTAATTGCACAAATTTTGTTACGACGATCACAACATTTCAGTCCATGAATTGGATACGTATAATCTGTGTAGGCATTTGCACATCATATTTGGGGGCAGTAATAATGTGTGAGACTTGTCTCAAAAGGAGTCCATGCATGTTCCATAATTCATCACAGTTTATTGCAGCCAGAAATCCAAATGTGCAGGCAAATGGACATTCCTTGATGGATGGAGCATAATAATATACTACAAGTAGAGTAGAGCGTAGCAGTACAAAGTGGCAGTTGAACATCACAATTCACAAGAGAAGAGAGCTGAGAAGCAGTAGCGTCACTGAACTGAACATAAACACGGTAGAACCGTAGCAGGAGGACACTGATGAGGAGACGAACTGCAAACCGCACTGGGTCAGTTTCAGTCGGATGGTCCAGCAGCCCGGCCTCTCACATCACACCGCGGCGACGGCGGCTGACGAAGTGAGCGCGTGCAGCCTCCAGAACACCTCCCCGACGGCGCCGACGAGCGCCCGGAGCGCGCCGCAGACGACGGTCGGCGCGGACGCGCTGGTCCGGCCGGCGACGCGCACGACGTCCGGGATCCCGAGGTGCGCCCCGGCCCTGGCGCACGCGGCCCCCGAGGCGGCCTCGCTGGCGGCGCGCGACACGGCGGAGGGCGCGGAGCGCCGCGGCGGACTCCGCGGCGGCCAGGCCCAGGACGGCGAGCGCGCGGCCGTTCTCGCGGGAGTAGGAGGCGTGCGTCATGGCGCGGCGCAGCAGGGACGGCGCGCGGGGCGTAGCCCACCCGCGACTGGAGCGCGGCCAGCGCCGCGTCGAACGGGGAGGTGGAGAGCGGCGTGGAGGCCGTGGCACGAGGGTGGGAGGTGACGAGGAGGACGAGAAGGAGGAGGATCAGTGGTGGTGGCGGAGTCGCCATTGCTGACTTGCTGCGGCGTTGGTGGAGACGCCGGGAACGGGGAGTGGGGAAAGTGGCGGCGGCTGTGGACGCGGTGGTGGTGGGCTCTCTCTCTCTATGGGCTCCGGTGCCGGAGTGATGGGCCGGCCGCAGAATCTGAACGGGTCGTTCGGTCGGTCTGGGTTCTTTTTCTGGTGACTCGAGTCTAGTCAAATGTCGCCTCTCGGGAAGGCCTCACTGGTCATTGCTCTCTCTATGCCGACACCCACGATGAAGGATCATGTTAATCTCTCTCCGTACAAATAAATGATCCAACTTCAGTCACAAAATCGACAGTGTTCCTGCTGTCATTATAAGTCGATTTACAAGCTGGCTTATAAGCTATGATATAATATTTTTCTCTCTCAACAAATTAGCCGTACAAATCAGCACAAGCGGCTTTACGTGCAACCGAGCCGATATCGTCTCTTACACAAAAACATACTCCGTATAATCGAAAATAACAAACTAACGCAAGTCCTTTTTAACCAACAACTACTACTAAAAATTCAATCCACGGTGATAGAGGGCTACTCCCTCTATCCTGTAATATAGTGCATTCTAGAAATTTTAGAACAAATTAAAGAGAACATAAAAGACACATGTACTCGTTATTTTATTTCCTAATCAGACACTATCATAAATGTGATTTATGCGATTTGATAAATGAAAAATATTTAATACAGAATTGGTTTTTTGTCTCTCTATAATGCATTATATTTGAGAATGAATTTTGAATGTTAGAACGCACTGTATTACAGGACGGAGGGAGTAGTTCATTGGATAGTAGTGCAAATACAGTCGGTGTCAATCCAATTAGTCGAATCCGAGAGCTAATTTGCGGTGTTGCTTGACTTCAAGTTCCATAGAGTAGGATGATATAGGGGGCTGCCTATAGCCTCGCCCAATGGGGTCAAACAAAAAAAAAGGGAGAGAGAAAAAAACTACAAGAATTGTTAACTAGGTGAGGTTGTTGGGACAAAGTTCTATATTCCAAACCCTAACAACGATTGTGAAGTGCACTATATTTTCAAAGCAACACTTTGTGGGGTTTAAAATTTTTCATACACCATCCTTACAAAGCTTAGTCCATAAGGGGTAACTCACGTGTCACCCTTTTCCCCACATTTGGTCAAGACGCTCAATAAACGATCGTGATGATAGATATACTAGCATCCTACTTAGTCACCTCTTGTCATGAAACGTACAAGTCTACTAGATGACACAATCACAACATGCTCCTTGACATGTCGTTTCCATATTTAACATGAGGTAAGTACGAAAGGTGCTTAGACAGCTACAGTAACTTGGCCCTTAAACAACTCAAGCGAGTCTCATGTTGCCCTATATCCTATCTCGCCATAACTGTACCTGTGAGTCTTGATTTATTGTTCATCACTGATCAATTTCAACTCTTTTCTCTTATACAATTTGTTTTTATGCATATCCTAAATGATAAGTGGAAGTGGAAGTGGCGTGGCTTGTAGATGGACAAGGTAAGGAAATTCTCTCTCTGGAAAAATGAAAGGCCAAGGAATTGAGCAAAATTCTTGTCTTCCCCTACTTACCCAAAATTTTCATTGCACAGTTTCCCTTTCTTTAGTCATGGACTGTTCGCTCAAACAGTTGTCTTGCCCGTTTAAACATCGTGTAAATGCTATTAGGCGGTAATTCTTCTAGTTTAATTGGATGGTCACCTATTTAGTTAGTTGTTTTAACCAGTTTAATGAGTTAATTAGCCAAAATAATGGATAAACAATAGGTGATGAACTATTTACCATTTAGCATTTACAAAGAGACTAGCCCTTTTAAGCTTGTAGGGATAAGGGTTGAGGCTTTAGGTTTCTCAGTTCTCAGAAGGATGCATGTTTGTTTGTTTGTAGCGGACTTAGATGAATGTTTAAGATGATAGTGGTAGCGGGAGATGGTGTCGATCAAGATAGCTGAGCGTCACTTGACATGGACTGCGATAGGCAACCTTTAGAGTGGTGGAGGTGCGTCGCCAATAACACCTCGACCACCGACGGGGAAGCCGCAAGAGAGGGGTAGGATATGGCGGGGGTGAGTGCCCATAAAAGAGAAGAAGACCTCAAGCCTAGCACGTAAGGTTACATTGCACTCTCTTATGTTAGACTTTCAATATTCAAATTTATATTATCAGACACTCGATACATACTTGGATCCCAACTCTTCCAAATATCTCCAAACTCACATAATATCCATATCATTTTCACCTTAAACATGACCTCTTGGGTATGAGGATATCCATGGATGGTACAAAACACAATGTAAGGTCAATATGACGACTAGAGGGGGATGAATAGTCATTTCTTAAATTTAATCACGCCAGCTAACCGAAACAAATGCGGAATTAAAACAATCAGTCTAGCCTAGACTATACCCCTCTATCTAAGTTCACAAGAACCTTATAAAGATCCTAATTATGCAACAAAGGTGTCGGGCTAGCTAGAGCTCACCTATCTAATTCTAGGAGCAAGATCACACAAACCTATGTCACTAGTATTTTATACACCGGGGAGCTCCTACACAATTCTAGTAAGCAAAAGCACAAAGCTCCTAAGCTCGCTAGCAATGCTCAATAACAAGGCAACCAATGCCAAATTAGAGAGCGCAGATACTTAGCTACTCAAACTAAGCAATGTGACTAACAAGGTTACACAAATCAAATTAGCCATGCAAGTGTCGGGGACCAATATTAGGGTACCCAAAGAGGAGGAGCTAATGACCGTCGAACGTTGATTCATCCGCGCGTTCAAGAGCACGACTACACTGCTTGCCGGGACACTCCTCGCCCGTCCACCGAGACCATGGGCCCCGCCTCACCCAACCCCTGGGGCTGGCTCCGCCTCGCCCAATGTCTGGGAGAAGACTCCGCCTCGCCCGACGTCTGGGAGCAGACTCTGCCTCGCCCGATGTCCGGGGGCTGGCTCCGCCTCGCTCGACATCTGGGGGTTGGCTGCGCCTCGCCCGACATCTAAGGGCAGACTTCGCCTTGTCCGACCCCTGGGGGCTGGCTCCGCTGTAACACCCCAGGTGTTTGTCACCAGTTAATGGGTTTGAGCTAAAACATGGTATATTAAGTGATGATGAAGATGTCAAGGTCAAACCTATAGAAACGAGCCCCAACCTAAACTTGGATATTGCACCTTTGCTCGCCTATAGACCCCTTTTCAAGATATATGCTTGGGTGGTGTGATTGGGATATCTTCCTATGTCTCACATCAATACCCATCTATATTGGGCACTCGAAAAGTTTCATGAAGTTTGGAATAAAAAAGTCACATGAAATGACAAGTTATGTCCTTGCTTGGATCATTTTATAAAGTGAATGGAATTCTAGATTGTTCACCAAACCTTGCAACCTTGCTCAAATGACTCTAGATGAACTCTACAGCAAAAGTCATGAAGGGTTCATGTTGGGCAAATGCCAAGAAAATGCTCCAATGGATCAAAAAGGATAATTTAAGCTTCATCGTGATCCTACTTTGGTCAAAGTAGAACAATAGGTTCTATACCAGTTTTGAGGTTGGACCTTAAATGAAAGTTGTAGTCCATATCATGTAGAACAAACTTTGTTTTTGGACCAAGAGCTAGATCAACTTGGAAATAAGTCAAACAGAGGCTCGAAGTTGGAACCTGCTGCTGATTTCAGCACTTAGAAATATTCTAAGTCTGAAATTCATCGACATCGGCATTGACGTCTCACGTTCTCCAAATTTCGTTAAGTAACTTGACTTGACCCCAAAATAAAAGTTGGAGCATACATCGAGAAGAAGACCATGCAAAAGGATGGCACTCGTTGGACTTCGTTTTGACCCTCAATTTGGGCTTTTGTTCATCGCAAATCAACGCGTTGACACTATTAACTTGGAGCCTAATTAACCGCTGATCCAAAGCTCTAATGACTTAGCTCCTTAAATAAGAAAGGCAGAGCGTCAGAAAGAAGCAAACTTCATTTTAGGCCCAAAGTCCAATTCGCTTTCGAGACGGCCCAAATCGGCTTCCCACCGTGTCCACTCCGTCGCCCCACTTGTTGTTGCTCGCGGAAATGCCCCAACGCATGCCGCGTGCCCGTCTTGATGCGGCCATCGCGAAGCTTCGCCCCTGCTCTCCGCCCGTGCCTTGCCCCTCCTTGTGCCCTGCTCCTCCATAACGCGCGCTGAGGCTCTCTGCCCCTCCTCACGCGCTCCCCATCGCCTCCTTCGCTCTCTGGCGCGCGGTGCGTGTCAGAGCCTTGCCGCCATGAATGTCGCCACCGAAGCTCGCTGCCATCCTCGCCTCCACTCCATCCCTCCTCCGTCCAACCAAGCGCAGCATCATCTTCTCCTCATCGCGCCCTCTGGACCTCCTAGACCGGCGCCATTGGCCTCTGTTGCTCCCGTCGTCGTGGAGAAAACTGCCGTCGCCGCCGAAGCTCCATGGCCGGTAGTCCTTGGGCCACCGCAAGCCGAGTTGTGGGCTCCTAGTTGTCAGTCTGCGCTCTCGTTGGTGCTCCACGCCGCTGCCAGCCACCGCCCGCCAACGCCGGCCAGCTCCTCCGTCGTCGCCGCCGGAGCTGCGCCCCTGCGCGTCGCGCACGTGCGTGGCCGGTCCACCTCGGGCCACCTCTCGGCCATCCGAGACCACCATCGGGTGCGCGTGGACCCACCGGTGCTCCCCCGCCCCTCAGCCGCCGGCAGAATGGCCTCCTCCGGCCGGAGCAGCGATCCCCGGCGATCCTCTGCTCCAAATTCGCGTCAGGGACCTCGCGCAGCAATTCGACTAAAGGGAGGGGTGTAACTGCAATGTCATAGACTCAGGTGAATAGTGCCATAAGGACTGGTTTGTAATTATTTTGCAGGAACTTTGGAAATTCATAGTAAATCGTAGAAAATTCGTAAAATAGTAAATGAGGATTTTTTGGAATCCTTGTGAAATTGTCTATGCAGTGGATCTATAATATGACATGTTTTAGTTTAAAT